TAGAGTTTGATTTTGTACTTTTAAACCGGTTTTTATTTTATATAGAATTTAAGCCTAACCAGTTTCGGCCATCTTCAGAGACTCTACAAATAGATTAATATCATTCATCTTATCCATTTCAAAGAAAAATTCAAGAATCATCATGTGGCTTAAAAATCGACGACTTTTTTTAATCAATGTGAAATGACCAAAAAAACACGTTAAAAATAAAAAGAAAGTGCGGAAAAGTGACTAACACTAGATTAACTTCAGTTATAAAACTTCTATTACAGGATAACTAACTTCAGGTTTAAAATGTCAACCTCAATTTTGACATATTTGTAATCTTCATTAAAAATCCTTTAAAATGAGTACAAACACGACATATTTATCTTCAATATTAATAAAGTTATGGTCAACTTCCAGTTAAGAATGCCAACGTCAATTTTGACATGTTTGTAATCGTCGTAAAAAATCCTTTAAAATGAGTCCAAACAAGATACGTTTAATTCCAATATTGCTCGAAATATAAGAACTTCCGATTTGAAATGTCAGTCATTTTGACATATTCTTCATTTTTATAAGATGTCTTAATATTTGTCACAAAAACAAAAATATAATAAAAAAAAAATAAAAAGTTAAGGTTGGTATTAATATTTAAAAATTAAATTGCTATCTTCATTGTTGCTAACTTAGGGTTTAAAGTTCTTTTTCTAACTTTTTTGTATTTTGAGATAAGTGCGTCAAGTTTGGACTCACTTTAATAGTTATTTTTGATACAAGATAGCGAAATGACACTTTTGCATTCGAGAACGGAAATCGTTCGAGAATGCAAAAGAATTTTGCTGTCGTGTATCAAACAACATTTTTTCGAAAACTACGTGTTCTAAAGTTTATAAATTAATAAAACAACCAAATTCTGTATAATGACATTTAGAATTCATTTAATGTTATGTCAAAAACTTAACGTCACATCGACTTAACCTCACATATTGAACAAATGTACTATTATAAATTTGCATTTAAACATAAAATGAAGTGATAACACAATTAAATGTTGATTATTTTGTGTTTATAATTTGTTCATAACAATAAATTAACAATAAATAGTATCAAATTGCTTGATTGTTGTAGCTGGACTTTTTTTTGCTTCTATTCATCTACTTTCTTCTATCTCTAGTAGTCTTCTTGCTTTTACAATTTATTTTAGTCTCTTTCGAGATTCCTTCCTCTCTGGTCCAGCTCTTCTTGCTCTTTCCAGTATCTGTTTAATGTGTTTCTTCTATTATTGGCCTCTTTCCAGTCTCCCTCCACTCTGCGCCATCTGTTTGTTCTCTTTTTAGCCTGTTTAGGCCCACTTTTACCACCTCTTGATATATTTATCCGATAGATAATTACCATGGTTACAGCGGTTTTAAGCGCTCTCATTGGCTAAGGCTCGTTACTACCATCTTCTGGTTAAGCTATCTAAGAGATTATTACCATGGAAACGGCTATTTTACGCGCTCTGATTGGCTAGTAGATGGGTTTATCTATAAGATAAATTTAACTAAAAGATGGTAGTAATGGACCTAAGGCCCACTTTTACCACCTCTTGATAAATTTATCCGATTGATAAATTGGCGCTCTTAGCCAATGAGAGCGCTTAAAACCGTTGTAACCATGGTAATTATCTATCGGTTAAATTTATCAAGAGGTGGTAAAAGTGGGCCTAAGAGCGCCAATTTATCTATCGGTTAAATTTATCAAGAGGTGGTAAAAGTGGGCCTAAAGCTCGTTACTACCATCTTCCGGTTAAGCTATCTAAGGGATTATTACCACGGTTACGGCTATTTTACGCGCTCTGATTGGCTAGTAGATGGGTTTATCTATAAGATAAATGTAACTAAAAGATGGTAGTAATGGACCTTAGTCTGTTAAGACATTTTGTTGCAATCAGTGGACAATATTTATATTTTTCATGGTATTTATAATTCATCAGATAATATGGCACACTGAGGATGATAAATTGGTTGTGTCTAGTAATAAATGTACAATAGTGTCATTAAGATTTATCTGATCATGGAAAGTGTAACATTACCAATTCCATATTGACTATAAAATACCATATGATGATGATAATATGGTACAGTTAGCTGCTAAAATATCAATAAAATAGTATTATTAATGTTGATGTTCATCGTCGACCCAATAATAATTGTTTGTGATCGGAGGGCAGGTTGATTGGATTTTAGGATGATCGAATAGCCACACAACACCATTACCTACAGCATGAAAATCTCTAAAAACGATAAAATGTCGCTTAGTCAAGTGATTTATAACGCGGTCCAATTCACAAATTGACACAATCGACGAAATGGTAGAATATTTTCTACTACCAACGTGGTCGTGATTTCTAAGCTATGTTGTAACAAGCACGCAGCACATCGAACATATCCACAGCCACCAAATTTATATTATAATAAGCTATTGATGAGGACACCCCACTAAAATCGTTTCAAAATCTTTGTTCTGATACAAAACTGTGGAAGTTTCTGTAAAGATACATACTTGCAACAACCATCCATTTCATTCCCCTATCTCTTCACTTTGTAACTAAAATTCACCATAATTCACAAAATCATATTGCATGGAAACCAAAGCTTATTATCAGCAAGATCTTTTTTAGGAAAATTCTTTTTATTAATTTTTTTCTGTCTTTCCAGAAGCTTCTTCTACAAATCTTCTCCTTCATTCTCTAGATCGTTGGATTTGTTGTTCCTGATAAGTTCTGCCTCTAAATATCTCCTGAGAAGATGACTGCCAACTGTCTCTCTATCTCTTTGGCTTTGGCCTGGTGGTCTAATCCCAAGCGGGTTATTTGTAAGCATAATTTTCAACCGTCTCTTATCTAGCATACTACGAACGTGATTTTACTAAAATCTCTTGTGCTTTCTTCCCCATTTTACAATATCTGCATGCTCTCTGGTGTCAGAGTTCTCAATTCTGACCCACTAGATCTTTCTTCAGATTGTCGTCATTTTTACTACTCCGAACATGATCTAAGTTTTATTTGTGTCATTTATTTGTATTTTAATGCTGCTTTACTCCACCAAAAAGTAGCTTGTGGGCAATTTTAGGTTGAGATTGCGAATGCTTCATTGATCTGACTTCTTAGGTCCATTGCGGAGATCTTTGGAAGTTGTGTTTGGAGGTCATCTTCTGAGTTGGCAGTGTCGTTGAGTTTAGTTTGATTATTGGGTAATTAGGTTTTGAATTTGGCAGATATAGAGACGGCGAAGTCCTTTCCGAATTCGTTTTAAATCTCGGTGTTCTTAAAATGACCACAGTGTCACAGAAATATGTCTCGACCGTTGAGCAGAATGTTAAGTTAATAATGAGAGTTGCATACCAGAAGTTCAAACCGTCTCACATATGTTGTAGTATCGGATGTGGCAAAATCATGCTATCTAGGTTTAATTACACTATTAGGTGAGCGCAATAGAGATAAGATTTAAAAAAATCAGGTAATCACCCGATGATGTGCGGCGGAAATGAGGGATTTTACACAGATTTGTAATCATACGACATTTCGTTAGAAGTAGTAGAGATAAGATTTTGATAGTTATCTGGTTTATACGGAACATTATTCATTTCTACATAATTTCATAATACAAACATATTTTTTTTTAGATTTCTTTCCTCAAATGAATCAAATATTTCTCTATGGCAAATTTTTATTATACAATCAATATAAATCAATATATAAATTCATAGGAACACCTGGTATATACAGTGTGTTAATTAATTAACGTATTTATTTTATAATATGCGATTTGCATATTGCAATAGCAATACTGTGATATTGGTTGCATACTTGTAATGATGACGTCGGGTTGGGTTGGATTGGTTATGCATGAGAATATTAATATTAAGTTTGCATTAAGTTTGACTGACATAATTTGAGTGTAGGTTTTTTTTATTAGGTTTTAGATTAAGAGTGTTGGGTTGGATTTGGCAGAAGATCTGTTGGGGTTGGTTTAAATGTGGATGAGTTGGGTTTTTCAATATGGGTGCGTAGAGTTTAGTCTGCGTTGGATGATGCTTCAATATAGTTTTAGTCTTAAGTTTGGATGAGCTCATATTTATTAAATAATAACTAACTTTTATATTTTAGGATTTAGTTCAGTTGGGTTTTGCAGTATTACTTTGAGTTTGAATTAGTTCCGTGCAAATTGAATATCACATTCGAATATCATTTACGTTTTTCAATAAACTGAAAAAGGTGTTTAAACTAGCAAAATTTACCAATACTTGTTATAAGACTTGATTTAACAAAGCGTAATTAGCAAATGTTGAGTTAATAAAGTGAATGATGCATTACTTAATCAGAAAGTTTGTGTGAACATCATGTTAAACTTGGATTATTTAAATACATATGAACAAGAAGTGAATTACATTTTATTGAAAATGTACCATATTATTTGAAGTGAACTCATTTATTCAATCTGAAGATATTGATAAAGATATTTATTAACGTATTAGATAGTTATGTACCTAATCACGTGTTGTATGATATCAGATTATTTATGATCCAATTACAATTTATCTAACATAAGACACCTGACGATGCATCATCTGATTTGCTTTATCATTTTAAATCTGCGTGATTTACAAATTATAAGACTTGGGTTGTATGTGATATTGTTAATAACAGTAAAATTAATGTTGTATTTCTATAAGTTAGAAAGAAATTTTAAATATATATATTTTGGTATAGGCAACCCAAATTACAACTTTGAACGAAATATCAATTTTAATTATTTTTTATATAATAACTGAGTCTATTTAGTACAAAGAATAATTATCTATCATTTTTTATAAAAAAATATTTTTAATATGCTTTATTATTAAAAATTTGTTCAAATTAAAACGTAAAAGGTAAAACACGTATAGCTGAATCATCATAATTCAACATCGTAAAAAATATAGATTAGAATCGTATTAGAAATTAGTAAAAATGTAACCTATTTCCTTATCTTGATATTAATTAATAAATAAATTGTGGAAAATATATTGTGGACTTTGATCTACAAGATTCCGGTTATTAAATCATCGCAGGGAATTTCGTTTTATTTTTATTTTTTTATTTGTTTTACATAACCTAAAACCTCGAACTATGACAGTCCGCGACAATTACGTCATTCTTATCTACTAATTCGGCCTAATATTGTTTGAATTTTGGCTGGACGATAAGAGGAAAACTTATCTCGTCGTCTGGCACTTGAACCGGAATATAACCAGATTAGTGTTCAATGGGGTCTTAGCACATCCACAATTACCAGGAAATTTAAAAGATAGTTGTCTCCTTTAAACTATTTAAAAATGGAAGTGATAGAATATTTAAAAAGTTCGGAATTAGTCGCGGATATACAACAATATTTCGGCATACATTTACCTCATTTGGAAAAGAAAAACGAAAACAACTTTACCAACAATAAGGGAAAATCCAAAGAAGACAATCCCCCTTATGTAATTACAAACAAATTATGGTATTATTTATTTAAACTTGGCACCGAATTGGGCGACGAGTTATTTTATTCCTTATTTATACCATTTTGGTTTTGGAATGTTGATGGATTTGTAGGAAGAAGAGTTATTTTTGTTTGGGCGATTGTTATGTGGATTGGGCAAGCTATTAAGGATATTGTAAAATGGCCTCGACCAGGTTTTCCTTCAGTAAAACTCCAGAAAAAATGGGCGTTGGAATATGGTATGCCTTCTACACATGCCATGGTTGGAATTTCGATTCCTTTCTCAGTTTTATTATTTACCATGAATCGATATCAATATAATGTATCTATTGGGTTAACACTGGCTATTTTATGGTGTACATTAGTATGTATCAGTCGGTTATATCTTGGAATGCATACTGTGTTGGTAAGTAAATAAATACAATATAATATATTTAATAGAAAATATCTATCAAATATCTAAGTTGGTATTATAATATGCAGGGTATTAAAATATGGTAGGTATTGACATTTATTTTTTTCTTTAAACACATTAACAAAATTGGCAAAGAATAAACTGAATAAAAAGGTAAGTTTAAAACTATTTTATAACATTGATTCATAATCAAAAAGTTAATAGCCCAATATCTAATGTGAGATAAAATGTTTGATACATTTAAAAACACTTACATTCTTTTAAGAGTGACTAATTCATAACTTTAAATATATACTAAACATATCTTCATGATGTCATTTATGACAAATCAGCAGGGGGCAGTTCTTCTTCACCTGAGCTTCATGATATAAGGCTATGATGATAGAATATTTAACTGTATTAGAAGGCGCATGATAATTATTTATATTGGAGATACATACAGGGAAAACCCCAATTAAGTATCCAATTAGTACAAGAAAAACAACAACAATAAAAAGAAAATTAAATACCAACTAAATTAATGACAAATACTTAAGCCCAATGCGAAAATTCTTTGTGAAACCACAAATAAATCAAAATTAGTACAATAACTATTGCAAAAGTGTAACCTGTAGTAACATTGATGAATTTGTATATGCTGTAAAGTTAGAGGCAAGTAGCTTGAAGAGAGACGCCACTTGAGTAGTATAAGTCAACTGCAAGACCAATCTGTATAATAATATATCAAATACACAGCGGCGATCCCTCAACGAAGTAATCCCAAAAGCCAAGTAGCGCTGGACATATGAACAATAAGGGAGATTAAATTTGTGGGCCAAATATCTCAAACACCTCCTCTTCAAAGCCTCAATACAATCCACATATACGGCGCACAAAGGATTCCAGACCACGGAGGTAAAATTGAAAAGACTATCGACATACGCCACATCCAAGGAAACGATGCTATTTATCGATATAATGGTATACAAATAATTAAACCTAATCGTTTTGAAGCATCCAATACAACCGCGTCTATGTGGTCACAGAAAAGAAGGTTTGAGTCAAGCACAACATCAAGGTCTTTAATAATTTGAGAAGTAATATTCATATAATTAGTTCCCAGGCGATACTTAAAATTTGTAGGGTATCACTTTGTACTAAATGCAATTTGATAGCACTTTCATAATTAAGAAACAAATAATTATTGAAGCAATAGTCTTGCAGACACTAAAGATCCTCCTCAAGTATAAAATTGGAGTAGTGAAAACACTCATTTATAGCATTAATATAAGCTAACAATAAAATGGAAAACAAAATTATCAACCGTCATTGCTTGGCGTCTGCATGATATAAAAAACTCATAATAGTAAGCTATTGGGTAAAAAAAGGTGAAAGATTTATTCACATTGAAGTGAAGCCAGAGTATCAAACTTGTTGACTTTGCAATGACTAGTCAGAGACTGCTGAACATATACTTAAATACAGAGGCCGCCTAAAACATAACATTTTCGGTAAAGTTCGCATGATACCTACCGACATAAAGGAACTAGATCTTGGAGTAATAGTAAGGTTCATCAAGGACCTACATTTGTCCTAAACCATGTATGAAACCATAATATTTTTGGTATTCCATTTTCTATTCGATTTTATCGTGCCATACGTATCTGTTGAGTGTAAAACGAAAAAATTTGCCAACTCATCTAAGGAATAAATATTGTCGATAATTAGGCAATTTCATTACAAGTGGTTGACATAAGCAACTGGTTATATTGAGACGCGCCGACAATTCTTCTTTTCCCTGTATGTATTAGTGAAGACCACATACATACCCAGATTTGGATTCGCAGAGAAAATAACTTTTTATTCCATATCTGGAACGTTTCATGGGAATGTATTGTACCCAACCCAATCTTCCTTTGTACAACGTAAGACTTTCGTCAATTGTTACATGATGCTCTGGTATATATGCTTCTTGAAACTTATTATTCTGTTGTAAGTACACAGGCCAAACTTTGTTTAGTTTTGGCTGTAGGTGAGGTCTTTCTTTGTCGTAATTGCATTGCACATTTTCGCCATGTAGTTGCATATGACAGATATGAAAAATATCGCAAAACTATGGCAGTTATGTCCCCTTGCGGTCGAATTACGAACTTCAAAATAATTTCCAGCTATTTCTCTTGCCCACTAACTACTACTTAACGGGACACCCTGCCTGGTATACTACGCCTGCCCTTACTATAGGTGTTAATAGAGTTTTCTGAAGATTAAATACTAAAACAGATTTCTAATTCCACACTTGCTTTTATGTCATGTGTTGCATTAGTTGCATAACTAGCCGGGTTTAAAACATTCTCCTTAGTAGATGATTTACACTGAAATCATCTAACATTAACTCATATACATTTTTTTGGAATTTGTGTCGATACTAGTACCATGAATATATTTAAACCTGTGAATAAATAACCAGATAAGATTATACCATATTTGGAGCAACACGCTGCATTCAAAAAAATTTACATTTTACATAATTTTATATAGATACCATCAAAATTTGAGATTTGCATCACGAAGGATCAAGATAATGTAGTCCTTATTGCAATAATGGAGGGAACTTGACGACAATGAGAAAACTGTGATTATATATATACCATCCGCGTCAAATGTAAAACAATAAAGGCAAAACATAATTTTCCAGAAATTGCGTTATGTACCTGTTAGTTGGCAAAGCTATTCTGTATTAGCACCATCTCTGCGGGCTTATGAAATGATTGTACATACTGGGTCATATTTTCCTTTAGGTCTTCTCTTTACTTGTTAAGATTCTGTTCAGTCATTACCATTCTTGAATCATGAAATTTCATGCCAGCAGTACAATGATTACGTAGAAAGTGGTCCCATTGTCCAAACGTGACACATTTTCTGTAGCGGATAGAATTTTATCAACAATTATTGCGGTTTTACATATACGTCGACGATCTTGTATCGATGCTACAACAATAGGATATATAGCCATTATGGTTCGCGTAATAAACACTACGAACAATTTATAAATTGATGCTAAATTAAATTTAGTTATTTTTTGTTTGTAATGAATCATAAGTCATAACAAATATAGTAGAGCATTTATCTAAAAACAAACTATTACTGCCTATTAGTTCAATGATTTCATAATTTATTTTAAAAAATTTAGTGCTTATATGTGTTTATCAAAATATAAATGTAATGATATGAGGCGTTGAATAAAAAGGGCGAAGTAACAACATGGAACTAAAAATTTTTATTTTCGATTAATTTGTATATTATAGTATATATATATCTTTAGTCTATGATTTGAATGATGGTGAAGCGTTCTATGTGATATTTATATAAAGCTCGCCCTTTCGATTTGAAAGTCGAATATAAACAAAAAGCTCGATTAAGTAATACGACTGTGGCTATAAACTTGGTCCACTTTAAGTAATATTTTCATTAATTCTTTACTCTTATATAACCGACTTTATCTACAATCTTTTACTACCAATTTTAATTTAAGCAAAAATAATATAATTGTCACTTAGGTATTTACTTTTAATTAGTTGACTAGTGAATATAAATTTTTTTTTGTTTACAGGATATAATTGCTGGTTTGTTATTAGCTGGGATTATGATGATTCCTCTAGTACCCATCGTTAATCGTCTTGATAATTATTTTCTGACTCACCCTACCGGTCCACTTCTATGCTTGGTTTTGTCAGTATTAATTATTATTTACTATCCAAATAGTGGAAAATGGACGCCAACAAGGTAACACATTTATTTTGATGAACACAAATTTAATTCAACCCAACCTTTTATTTATAAGAATCTCCATAAATTAGTTATATTTCAATCATAATGATAAACAATACTTTTAATTTATAATTATTGTTACATAATCATAACCTTCAAAACAACTTTAAATGCACATAATCAAAAAAATAATCTAAACAAGATATCCTTAATGATAAGATATTTTCACCAATTTAATTTAAATTTTTTAGAGGTGATACTACAATGATTCTCAGCGTTTCTGTTGGTGTACAAAGCGGGGCTTGGTTTAATTATCAAACGGGAATAATGACAGCAGCAGAATTATCGCCGCCCTATGCGATAATGTGGCCCAGTTACACCATGTTGGGGTGTATAATTTTAAGAACGATTTTGGGAATATCAGTTGTTTTAGGATTAAGAGCAATAGCCAAAGATTTTTTTTATAATTGTTTGTGTGCCATGTTAAGGTTAGATGCGGATGAATTAAAGAGTACTGAAAATACTTTAGAGAATGGCAGGAAAAATTTTGTAGAATTGGGAAGCAAGTACTTAATGTGTTCATCGATTGGATTTTGTATTTTGTATGTTATTCCGTTGGTATTTCGTTACTTAAATATCGAAAGACCAACGTTTTATACGGAAATATGATAATAGGGTAGAAAGAAAACAATTTTAATTTATGTATCAAGATGGGAAACTCAAAATTTTTATGCAAATGTGCAATTAATCCATTTAGTGTATTATGTTTGGTAATACTTTCATTTCATTTCTTGGGAATCCTTTTTTTCTCCCAACTGGTTGTTATCAAATCATTGAGTCTTCTTTCTGTTGCGTTTCCACTTTTTTGCATTTTCGACGTTCCTCATTTTTAGGAGCTCAGGAGTGATATTATCTTCTCCTGGGCCTTGTTATTTTTCATCCTTGCTGCACTTCTTCCACTGCTGGGCCTTCTATCATAACTTCCGTCGTAATCACTCTCTTTACATTTGCTTCCTCTTCTCCCTGGTGGACAATGTTCAGTAATTCAGCGAAATGTTGCTTCCATCTCTCCATTTCACTTGGTACTTCTCCTTTTTTGCTGCTACACACGCTGCTTTTAGGCTAATACCCCAATTTCCATCTTAATTGTCCTGTCGAATTTCCCCACTATCCTCTTTGCGAAGTTCCTCTGTATAAATCTTGTATTTCTCTGCATCATCCTCATCCACACTTCATTCTTCTCTTCTACTACTCTCTTACACTCTGCATCGTACCATTCCACATTTCTACAATTCGTTCTTGTGCCTTGTTTAATCCTAATTCAAATTAAGTGCACATGAGCATTTAAAAAAAGACTCCCACCGCGATGCATAAAATAAAAAATATCATTTCTCCTATTATTTCAAAAAACATGTTTTCTCCTCTGCTATTTTAATATAAAAATAGTGTTTCAGTACAATTTTAAAAATTAATTATCAAAGATTTTGTTATGAACCTTCTTAATGTATATTAAAATCATATTGTGATAAAAAATTGTTATAAAACTTTTATTAAGTTTTTTAAAAATGTATTAATTGAAAATGCAATAATTAACAAGAGTTTGCTTTAAAATTTATATTACCTCAGGTTGACTAGTTTATTGTTATCTATGTTTTAGTATGTGCAGTATTTATTATATCTTATCAAACAAAATCTTATTTCCGATCGCTTCATACGACGATTTTTTGGCTTAACAAAAGATTGAGCAATTTGATCCACTTGTAATTAAGAAATACTGTAGATTATAAACAAAATCACAGAACGATACACGAAGGAGAAAACTTAAGAAGTGTAATGTAATATTTTCATTTTTAATCCATTGATTGTACGATATAAAAAATATTAAACTTGTGATTTTAGAATATTTAGAGATAGGAATTTGCATCAGCCACGTGCTTCCAAGTATTTTAGTGACGTCGAAGGATCAAGGTTTCAGAAAAATATGGGAAATGGGAAATTTAAGCTCAAAATTTTTATAAATATGATCCTTTTTGTAATTTTTAATATTAGCAACTGCCAAATAGATTAAGTCTCGATCCAAAGATCAACTTACTTAATAACGCGTGTTCAATAAAGTAAAATCTAAAAAAGGTATTATTTTACAGGGTGTCACAAAAGTTCGTTAGTACGGTATTTCTGTTGTTAAAAACAGAATGGAAGCACATACAGACATGAAATTGGCATAAATTTTATTCAAACAATAATGTACAATCAAAATTTGTACAGGTCCGCAGATGCTTGAGGAATGCAGCCTCTGTGGCGGAGATGTACTCGACGACGAAATTTCAAGGGCGCTCTTCAAACTGTCGGGATTTTTGTGGGGAGTAGTACAGGCCTTGCTGTGAAAACAGAAAAGTCGAGGAGGTTCAAATCAAGCGAGTAGTGAGGTGGAATAATGGCTATAAAATCGGTCCTCCACCACTGCTGAACCACCTTAGCCTTGTGCGCTGGCAATAAGTCCTGTTGGAATGTCCAGGGGTGAAACTAGCTCCATGGAAGCACTTCTTCCATCAGAATCTCATCAAGGCAGTTCTGGGAATTGACCTGATCCACAAAAATCATCTCGGTGGAAGTCCCTCTGGCCCAAATCATGACTTTGAGCAGCATGAGCCTTTCGGGAAACGCTCGTTCGCTTCTTGAAGCGTTAGCACAAGAAGTTTGCTCAATCGTGAGTAACATTTCGTCAGTGTCTTTGAACTCCGTCACTGAGAAGCGTTTTTTGAAGTTCGCGACATCTCTGAAGGCTGTTCCGCCAAAGTGTGAGTCTTTTGCATCTTGATGCTACGATGTTTGACGATCCTGGGCAGAGATTCACGGATGATATTCATTTCCTTAGCCATTTTCTGGGACCTCTCATGGCATTTTGGCGGAACTTGTCCCAGATGCGCTTGACCATGGTGGGAGTCATGGTAGTCTTTGGTCTTCCACTTATGGGATGATCCTCGATGCTACCAATCTCCTGATAACGACGCATTGTACATTACATTGGATCTATACGATCTCCTAAGTCACCATACAAAGCACTAACAATAAGAACAATAATTACAATATCGCAAAATTAGGCTGTCGAACTTTTGTGACATTCTGTTCTTTTTTGAACACATTATTAATTAATGTACTATTAATGACTATGAAAATAAAGTCAAATCAAAAACCAAGTTAAGTGCATATTAACTTTATTGGTTTTTCAGCAAATTTGTTATTTAGTGCTAATTCCAAAGAAAAAAATTTATCACATTTTTAACATAATAAAACAATATTATTAATACTTGAAAGAAAAAGCTTAGGAACATATCAAAAATATATATAAAAAAACTCACTTGAGAATAGTGTACATTCCATTAGATTAGAAAATACTTTATGTTTTTTGTATTATTGGCATTTTTATTGTTAATATCTGAAAGTTCAAGATATCAAAATAACAAATATTAATCCACTAAATAAAGCAAACTTCTTTTTAATTTCCTTACCTTTGTATCAGTGTTAAAAACACAAACAACTTCATCTTCTTGAATAAAAACGGGAATGAAAACATCCAAAAGATATTTTTTATACTTTGCCTCAAGAATAAACCTATCATCGTTCATATCCAACGTTAATTCCTTTGAAGATGTCTAAAAACAAATACTTAATAAAATTCAAAACCAACAAATAAATAAATCATACAATTTTTGGTAATTTTACTTCAGCAAATAAATTTTTGTCGTCATCAAACCTTTGGTACAATCGATACTCAGGAGTGGCATAAACATCATCGCCTTCTAAAACTTGAATTCCAACTTTATTTTGATTCGCTCCATCAAGTTTTTTTATCCCCATTTTCTCGTCAATTTCTCTCTGTTGGACTCTATGCGCTTGTAAATTTCCAAAACATTTCTTATTCTTTAAAATTAATCTTTCATCGGTGGCGTAAACTCCATTTTTGTTAGCGATGGCTTCAAAAATAACGGCCACAACAAAATTAGTAAAAAGTTGGCTTTTTTCCATTTTTACAAAAAAATCTTTGTTAATCGCCACATCGATTACTTTCACATTTTCGCCTTTTTTATCTACATCAGTTCGAATTTCAGCTATACTCATCGGCACACGAAATTCGACACTTTCATCGACTTCTGTGTTAAGTATTTCGACAAGTTCGGATTCGGTGATATCTTTTGGTGGTGGAATTGAATCTGTTTTGCAGACATTTATAAAGATTTTTGTGTCTGAACCAATTTCTTTTGATTTACAGCAAAAACCTTCAAGCAAATTATAATTATTTAATTTTATTACGTTAATAACACATTTTATTTTTTTGAAAAGTGATTATCATTGTTTTTGTTATTATCTATGATGGTTAAAACGTGCGTTGAGTGATACAATGCATTTATTACCGGGTTTATTATAGTTAAAATAATCCTGTCATTTATCTTTGAACCTTTCTAAGTAGTTGGCAAAAAATGAAAAATATGTTTATTATAAAATTGGGAAAAATGATCGATAATCTTGATAACAAAAAAATTTGTGTGTGTTGCGGAAAAGGAGCAGATGTTCATATTTACATTTGGGTGATAAATTGTGTTCGAATTCAATAAAATTGGATAAAAATGAGATACCCACATAAATATTTTTGATAAAAACGGTAAATTTTAAATGTCAACGACAAAAATGTTTTAATAGTGTTGTGGGAGTGTTGCGGAAAAAATCGATTTGTAGAAATTGTTTACTTCCTTTACACCATAAAAATTATAAATTCAAATTATAAATAACTGGTTTTTATAGAATTTTATAAATGTTGTTTTGTAAAAAATGAGATAAACATTTTTTAATTAAACAAAATGTACCGTGACTTCCGTATTAAGTGCTCAATCGAAATAATAATTAGGTACTATTTTAGTAATTTCAAACAGCATCACAGACATCACAATAGTATTGTAACTCTATAATTTTACGCTACCGATTACGAAACGTTGAAAATTGCCGAGGAATTCTTAATAATTATAAAATCGCAACGTTGAAAACATTATAATCTGTGTTCAATTAAATAAACCTTCAAGAGAGGCATTACTTTATTTTTAGCTATTACACATTTCTCAAATATTCAGAGATTTCATGAAACTTGGAGCATTAGGAATAATAATAATAATAATTTCGTGGTTGGTTATCTGGGCATAACTTATTATTTTTTCCCACATTATTTTAAAACAGTTATTTTGACAATTTTTGCAACAATATACGATTAGCGTATTGCTATACCAATACTGTGGTATTGGTTGCATACTTGCAATGATGACGTCGGCTACGATAATTAATTAACACACTGTATATACAGGTGAGTTATTAGTATCCCGATGGTCGATAGTTACTAAACCGTTTGAAAACCAAAAAAATATTTTATACAAAAGTTGTTTGACTCATCACTTTCTACTACATAAAATTATTTTCACTTATACAGGGTGCTTCATTTAAGTGTAATGGAGAGTACGTCAATTTATTTAAATGGAACACCCTATTTATTTTATCATATAATGGATACAACTAAATAATTTATTTATACAACCGTATCTGTTACTATTTCACAGCATTCATAGTTCCTGAGATATTCAATTGTTCTTTCAAAATGTGCCCATTGCAGGATCAGATAATAATCAAATAAAAATATGCAATTGTTCTGCCATATAATTTACAACTTCAGAGAAAATAAGATGCACATGTTAAGAGATACCTCAAGATCTTTTATACAGCGCATTAATGCTTGTAGAAGAGAAAATGGGCGGCATTTTGAACTTTTCAGGAAAACTATTAAAGTTAGATATATGACATACTTATCATTAATTAAAGGGAACTTGATGAACAATTCAACTAGCATATAATATACAGGTGTTCTATTTAAAAAACTTATGAAAAAGCCATTTGAAAAACATCAAAAGTAACAAAACTTTATGGACACGCTGTATAGCGTATCTAATATCTTTGGGTACTATCATTTACCTATTAGATTTGACAATTATCTGACATAATTTCAAGGAAAAATTGGAAAAAAATGTCGTTTTTACATAGTTTTTAAAAAGATGCTGCAATGGACACATTTTGGAAAAACAATTATATATCTTAAGAACTATGAATGCTAGTTAGTAGCATATAGGGCTGTATAAACAAATTTAATGCTATTCATAGTACGATAAAATATACAGGTGTTCCATTAAAAAAAAATAGTATAGGTTGAGAATCACCTGTATAACAACCCAACCCATTATTTTTTAATAACCCCTCAAAACTACTAAATGTGTTTTGCCGCACCTTGTATAACAAAGCCATTACGAATATTTTCATATCCATTCTCTAATGAATTCCAATTTATTACACTGTCTGCTACATAGGAGTCTCCCGAGCAGTTTATGAAATGCATATCATCACACTTTTTAATTTGATTGCCTATCGACACATAATGGACAATTTAAAAATAGCAGCATATAAAAATGCTAGAATACTGACATGTTTATAATCATGTTCATTTAATACGATAAAAAATAATTATTACAACTTAGGTTGTTTCAGTTTATACGAATTAAATGTTTTAATCAAACAGCGTGATCTTTATCTCATCTATTAAGAGTTTAAATAGAGTAATAGTTCAACAACCACCTTGACATATGACTCTTAAGCTAATATACTCTTTAATAGTATATTAAAAAACAAGTTTCGTAAGACACGCTTGAAATGCATGAATTCAAGTTTAAAAGTTTTAAATGAAACTTTAAGTCTTATGAAACGTGTTTTTAATGCTATTTTTTGTAATTCGCGGGTTTATCCTTTTTTTTTAATAAAAATAAAATAAATTTTGATAATGTAGGGAAATAGGTATGTAGCAGGTGGTAACACCGTTGAATTGTCAAAACACAAAATGTGTTCACCTGACAAAATGTTTCATGTACACCTCCCAAAATAAGAGAAATTGCTCAGAGTTCAATGTCCTCATCATTATAGACCTTGTATTCGATGCTAAAAATATGTTAAACATCTACAGTGATACAATAAAGTCTACATACACCCCAGAAAATGATAATATCTCAACTCCTGAAATGTAATTCAATGAATTTTTTAAACGAAAGTTATTAGAAGTCTATATTATTTTAATACAAAGTCGAAACAATTCGACTTGTGCTACGAAATGAAGGCTACAGCAGTAGATTTTAGGCTTCTAGTGATAGTGCAAAACTAGAGCTAACACTAGATCTAGAAGTAGAAACATTCGGCTTTAGCCGCACGTCTCTCAAGACGGCTAAACCCGAATTATTCTAGTTCTAGGTCTTGTGTTAGTTTTAGTGATAGTTCTAGTGTAAAACTAGAACTAACACTAAACCTAGAACTAGAAAGTTCATGTTCATGATACTAGAACTAGATACTTTCTAGGTCTAGTGTTAGTTTTAGTTTTAAATATGCAACGTAATGATATCTTATGCTAACTACGCTACTTACCACTGTCTCTAGAACTAACATTACACCTAAAAGCAGAAATACTCAGGTTTAGCCGTTTTAAGAGACGCACGGCTAAACGGAATGTTTTTAGTTCTAGGTGAAGTGCTAGTGTAGTTTAGTTTTATTTGGTACTCAGCGGTAGATACTTGTATATTTTTATTGAGCTATAACAGATACTGATAGACTTTTTTTTAGGACTGTATGTAGATTTTTTTGAGTTAAAGATATGATTATGTTTTATGTTCCCCTTGATTAATAATAACTTATATAGTTTTTATGTAAAATATGGACTTCTTAATGTTCTGTTAAAAAATTTCATTGAATTACATTTCGGGAGCTGAGATATTACCATTTTCACATTGACAACTAGAAAAATTAATGACCCAATGTCACTAATTTGAACTGGTTCCATAAAATGTTACTAAAATCTCATTACAGCATCGGATGCTGTAAGGAGTCTTATTACAGCACCCGTTTGAGTACTGTAATAGTTTTCATTACCATCGCGAATTACAAAAAACTTTATAATAGTATATTATTCAACAAGCGTATAATGGCGGCTGTTACCCACGAATATGAAGTTGCAACACGAGCGAGCGAAGCGAGCGAGTGTTGTAATCTGAGTGGGTAACATCCATTATACGCAAGTTGAATACTATACTTTATCTACAACTATTTAATTTTGAAAAAAATACCAAAAAAACGAAAAAAAATAAACTTGATAGACATTTCAGACATAACCTCAATATAAGAAAGCTGTCATTTGTTAATATTTTATTTTTTTATTACTAGGCCGTGTCAGAACTGTGGAATAATGGCTTCATTATTCAACACTTTGTCAGTCATGGGTAATGCGTGTCATTACCCGTCAAAAATCAAATATATAATGAATAGATAATTCAATAGTTGTAGATAAACCATTTTTCGTCACAATCTTAAAGGATTTAACATTTATATGTAATCTTATTTCAATCGATTTTTTTGGGAATACATATTTTATCGTGGATCACAAAGCGGTTTCTTTGTTTATCCTTGAAACTCCGTTATTCGAAAACAAATTGTTCAAGCGTATACCGCAGTCTAGCGCGTTTAAATGTTAATTTAGTTTGAGTTGAGACGCTTCAAGAGAAGTCTCTCTCTATTATGCTTAATAAACTTTTGTTGAAGTGAGACGTTTTGTGTTTATTTTCTTATATTTAACGTGAAAAGTTGTTGTTATAAATTATAATATCAAAGTTTTTTTTAAAATGGAGTCAAAAAATGCTAAGCATTTTAAACGGTATGAAAACATAACGTTTGTTTTATAAATAATGAAAATATAATCATTCCCGGGAATTTATGTGGTATAAATAGAAAAATTACCAGAATTTTTTAGAAAATCCTTTAAGTTCTTAGGGTATTGCACACCTTTTTTACTCATGACATACATTTTACCGCAACCTTGAACATCTATCCAAAGTGTACTGAACTCTCTATTTCTTTTTCCTAAATAAGAACCGTATAAAAACAATTATAATAATTTATATAACTGTTATAATAAGTCCCTGACATTTTAACAAATAAAAAAGGCATTTCAAAAAACCACATTCTAAAAAGTTAATATAATATGTTAATGAACCATCCAAAAACATGGGCATCTCTTCGTTTCTAACAATTTAAGTGTCAAGGATTACATAATAGTTTTTTATACAGGTTCATTTAAGTTTTGAAATGTCGGTTTTAATTTTTGTAAAATAGAATTGAATAAACAAGCAACAATGATGATGATGAGATTGTAATTCTTAATTTAACCTTGAATGTTATTTACAAGTACTATCTAAAATGTTAGAAATAAAAACTTTTTACTTACTACAATTTAATAATTAATTTATAAGTTATTTATAGATTATCATTAGGATAAGACCTTCAAAAATTAATCAATAAATTGATTGCTACAACTTCAATTTTCAAAATAGCCCAAAGATACAAAGTACAATTTTTCGAAAAATTTTGAAACATTGCGAAATTTCTTTGAAAAAAAAATCCCCTACCATTACAATGCAGATATCAATACCTATAAATACGGTTTTGCAAGAAATTTTACTTCTATTTACACTTACCAGGTGTTGGTTGAATGATTTTTGAAGGATATTGCTCGCCAGGTACACGAAAAGGCTCATTAAACTCGTTCAATTCAGGTTCCTATGAACACATTCAAAAAATTAACCTTAAAAATTGACATGTTTACAAAATTTTTTCGACGTCAAAGTGACGTTTAAACATAACCTATAAAATTTTTCTTTTTTAATCTTACCGTAAATTTGAGATTTCTACCAATCAGAGTATCATCTACTTCGAGAAAACTTCGTTTTGGCATTTTATTTACGATCGCGAATACAATAAGGGGGTATTGCTGGTGTTGATTAGCCTATTTTTAGATGATCTTGTATCGGTTTCAACGAGATAACTAATTGACTTTGACGCATGCGTAATAGGAGTTCTAAGAATGGCGAGCTCAGGTTTGGACGAGTTTTGTGGCAGCGAATTTTGGGTAAGTTATTTTCAATTAATATTAAAATAATTTAATTTAAATTACATTTACACGATTTCACCTTAATATATAGATAATGTAAAAAATGAATTTTCATCTGGTATAATTTTATTTATAAAGATATTGAGAAAACCTTGTAACAATTCTTGAAGTAAATTTGGTTCTCTACTTTTATTTTATATTTTAAAATTTTAAATGTTTTTTAAATGATTTATATTTTATTCTTTTTTTTAGAATTCTAATTTAACATGGTACACAACTGATCCAGATTTTACGAGATGTTTTGAACAAACTGTTCTGGTTTGGATTCCTTGTATGTACTTGTGGATTTTTTGTAGTTTAGAAGTATCTTACATTCTACAAAGTAAAAGAAGTGATATACCTTGGAACTTTTTAAATCTATCGAAATTATTTGTTAATTTATTATTATTCGTGCTGTGTATCATCGATTTTAGTGTATCTGTTAAATGGGCATCTGAAGGACATAAAAATATCTACAACGTTCATATTTATACACCAATTATTAAGGGTATAACATATGTAAGTATACTTAATTAAGAAATTATCTCTGATTCATTTTATTTTTAATTTAAAAGATTTTGATCTTATAGTTTTAAAAGAGTTTTATTGCTCAGCATTGTTAGATAAGAATTTCATATTGTTTAGAAATTTAATGTAACTTATATCTTAGTCTTATCAATAATATGAGATTTGGTAAGTCTATATATTATCATACAGTGAATACAACAGGATTTTCAATTTTTTCAAATTATTGTTTAATCATTTACATGACATAGTTGTTAATAACTAAATAAAATTAGTTGGATTTACTAATAAATATTTTACAGATAAAGTATGAAGGGAAATGTCTTGAAATTATTAATTATAAATAAGTAATAATATGGTCTCAATTACCCACTGTTTCAAAAGGGTAATAGATAAAATAAAGCATAGGACTTCTCAAATAACAAAGTTATTTGATCACTGTGAAACTTTGCACACTTAAACCATGTTTAAAAATCTTGTATTCAAATATGAGAAATGAAAGGTCATTGTTTGATAAGACTCTGGTTACATATTATTTCAAAACATGTTGCAATATATTCATTATTGTGTTGTATAGCAATAATAATAGATTTAATATGTTAAAAAAAAGATATTAAAGAGTTAGGACTAGTGGTGCACCATTCACAGGGATTAGTATCTCTTTTAAGTATTGGACGCTGCAGATAATAATCAAGTTCAACCTCAATAGGACTTTTTTCATTTAATACAACTTTATTTATTTCAAGTTTGTCATTAACAACCTCATGGCAACAATCCCAAAGCGATAAATGAATTAAATCTCTTGTTGCAGTTTCTTCTACTTTTCTTCTCTTTGCTATCACTATCAGTTTGTGACGAAAAAAAGTAAACCAAAATTTTCCGCCATTTTTGGAGGGGTGCAGCCTCCTTAGGGGAGCCAAAGTCGCCCATGGTTTATATATCAAAGTACCCTTAAAATTCACTAAAGAATCACCCCTTTAAGTTTGTTGCAGTCATTCAGATATACCTGTATATGCCGGATATCCGGTTTTTCGCAAAATCACGTACCTTACCGCAACTTAACGTAAGTTCGCAGATATGTGCAAGATATTTTGAAATCTTTTGTTCGCACACTTGAAAAGATCACAGTTTAGTAAATTATTGATTAAATTCAAATCGTACCGTATTTTAATATGAACAAGAGTAGACTGCTTTTTCTCTTTGTTTAACAAACAAAGGTATTACGCAGACTGGCAAAAGCATTAGAACTTCGTTCCATGTTTGGAATTTTATTTAATATTTCACTTAATGTTCCCAATTTCAATGTTCCATTGCCTTGAACGCTTTCTGCAACACAAGAATTACATCATTGACATTAACTGGGTTTGTAATTGAAGGAAATCTGCCATTGAAACTTCTGCTTCATGAGCTTCAGGTTTGTCATTAGCAACCTCATCGTAACCATCCCAAAACAATATATGAATTAAATCTCTTGTTGCAGTTTCTTTTAGTTTCAAAAAAGTTCATTTTGTAACTTGGATCCAATTATGTTGACACATCTTATCAGCTTTCTTATTAATTTCATTTTTGTTCAAATATCGCAATAATGTGTCAAAGTAAAGTATCACTTCAGAAATACACGAGATATTATAACAATAATGGCCGGATAGATATGCCCTATAAACGGATATCCGGCCAAAGGAGATATCTGTTACCTGAACACGAGTAGACTGCTTTTCCTCTTTGTTTTGTAACAAGCTAAGGTATACGCAGGCTGGCAAAAACGTTACAACTTCGTTCCATGTTTGGGATTTTATTTAATATTTCACTTAATGTTCCCAATTTCAATGTTCTATTATCTTGAACGCTTTTTTCAACGTAAGAATTACTGTCATCGACATCCATGAAAGTTCGATTCCATGGAAAGTTCTGCTTCGTGGAATTGTATTAGTTCATCATTATCTTGTTCATTTATTCTAGAAGTTGTGAAGATCCACATTTGTTTATTCATCTCCAACAAATTGGGAACAACTTATTCTACGCAGCCTTCATGGACGATTCTTTAATTTCACTCCAACTTGCAGAAATGTTTTTAATTCCATGAAAGGTATTGTAGCTTTTGTATTACCTTTATGTAAATTGACTTTTTTAAATGTAGCAATCACAGTTTGGTCCATTGATTGGATTAGTGGTGTGTTTGGTGACAAAAAGATTATTTTTATATTAGGACACAGCTCTTTCCGCGTTATACGATGCCAAGTGGCATTATCCTTAAGTAATATTACTTGAAAGCTCAACTTTAACGTACATTTGCTTCACGTACAGCAATTTAGGAACGCATTGAGTACGAACTTCTTCATAAACATTCTTGATTTAACAACATTATAGAAGGAATACTTATATTAAATACTGCATCTAATTTACTTTCCATGAAAGGTCAGTCACAACAGTGGTGTGTAGTCCCGCTATATTGAGGTTGAAGAAAATCTTGATTTGGGATATTTGGCAATTTTCCTGTTTTCCATATTTTGTTGCATAGATCTAAAAGCATTATTACAGCCATATCGTCCAGCACTTTGAAAATTTTGTCTATTTAATCTGCTCTAGAGGCCTTATTTGTCTTTAGGTAACGTATATCTTCTATCACTCTTTCTTTCAAGATATCTGGCTCACAATCTTTCTCTTTCTAATTGTTGTTCGCGTTCTGTCCATAATAGCTGTCCATCTATATTTTCTATGGCTAACGTTCTTGGTTTGAATTTCCTTGATAGCAGGTTCATTTTTTGAAAAAGATCACATACATGTTGATTGTAACAATGTTCTTCATTTTTTTTGCATACTTTGTTGTTTTTCATATAGTTGCTTGATTGATGAAGCATTTTTATTATTCCATATTGTCCCTCCACATTTCGTAGATGGTCATTATTTTCCGTTTTTTGGGAAGATTTTCTAAAATATTCTTTAGTTATAAGTAGAAATGGTTACTGTCTTCTTCTATCGTGTCAGCTGTTAGGACCGTATATTTGGATTATATATAGACCGGATGGTTTTGCTTGCAGCTTAATTGTGATTATTCTATCACTTATAGGATTATATCCAAGCACGGAGTTCTTTATGTGATGTGGGATTATTATCCAATGAAAGGAAAAATTCAATGTGTATCCGCGAGTTCCAATACTTCAATGTTGCACCTCCTTGCTTCGTTTTCCATTGTATATAATTTCCCTGTTTATAGTAGACCTTTCATATTCCAGGTGTCAATTTTGATATTTCTTCTTAGGTTTACATTTTCTTTCAAGTAATTTATCGGAGATCTGGGAGACTATTCTCTTGGAAAATAAATAATGAAAGTGGTTTCCCATTACCTTTTGTCAGGGTGTTCTCCATTACCAGCAGTCACGACTTGGACATGGAAGTGGGATTTTCTCAGAGTTTTATTGTAACCTGCTTTGCTACCCCTGACTCTAGAGATAAACCATTTGAACGCCAATAAATAAAATAAATAGCTTAAAAAATCATTTAGATCATCTGTTTCAAAACCCTTCAATTATTTTCCGTTATTAACTATGTTATATCTTATCTTGGTTATTATTTAGGATAAACAAATTGAACATGTCCAAAAGAATTTAATTATTAGATCTATTTATAAAAATAATACAATAAGAGAATATTAAATGATTTTTTTTTAATTTCTTTTACAGATTCTAACTGCCACATTAGTTTATTATAATAGAAAACATGGTTTACGAACATCAGGGTTATTATTTCAATTTTGGTTGCTCACTGCAATATGCGGAGCACCTCAATTTCGCAGTGAAGTTCGTCAAGCTCAAAACATCACCCCAGATCCTTATTATTACTACGTCAGTTACATCATTTTTTACCCCTTAACGTTATTGTTGGTATTTTTAAATTGTTTCGCCGATCAAGAAGCCAGACTTAGTAAATATCCACACAGCGATGTAAGAATTATTTGTTGATTTTAATTTTCGATCGTTAATTTACTATTTAACATTTTTATAATAGAAACCATGTCCTGAACTTAAAAGTAGCTTTTTATCAAAGATATTTTATGCTTGGTTCGATCCTTTGGCATGGAAAGGTTATAGAAATCCTTTGGAAACGAAAGATTTGTGGGATATGAACCCAAGCGATGCCGCGTATGAAGTTGTACCGCAATATGAAAAACATTGGAAGAAAATTCTTGCTAAATCTAAAGGGTAATTAATTTGTTTATATTAATTTATATAAAATAAATCACTGTATTTATATATCTTATACTTAGTGATGTTCCTGGAAGTTTACAAACGGACGCGTCATTTAAATCAGATACAAACAGAATTGAGTTTGTTAGCAATAAAGAGAAGAAGCAAGCTTCAATTTTGCCTGCAATGGTTTACGCTTTCGGTCCACCATTTTTATTTGGAGCGTTTTTAAAATTATTACAAGATATTTTAACATTTGTTAGTCCACAATTATTACGGTTAGCGATTACAAGTATTAACCGCTCAATTTGTTTATTATAATCATTTTTAATTATAGATTATTAATTGCATTTGTTGAAAATAAAGAAGAACAATGGAAAGGGTACTTATACGCAGCGTTACTTTTCATAACTGCCGGAATTCAAACCTTAATCTTAGCCCAATACTTTCACCGAATGTTCTTAGTTGGAATGCGTATTCGAACCGCTTTGATTTCAACTATTTATAAGAAAGCACTAAAAATGTCCAACATCGCAAAAAAAGAAAGCACTGTCGGCGAAATCGTCAACTTAATGTCGGTGGACGCTCAAAAATTCATCGAACTTACCGCGTACTTAAACATGATTTGGTCGGCTCCATTTCAAATAATCGTTGCGTTGTACTTTTTATGGAACATCCTCGGTGTCTCTGTTTTAGCCGGATTAGCAATTATGATCATTATGATACCTATTAATGGATTTATCGCGGATAGGGTTAAAGTTTTGCAGATACGTCAGATGAAATACAAGGATGAACGGGTGAAATTGATGAACGAAGTGTTGAGTGGAATGAAGGTTCTGAAATTATACGCTTGGGAACCAAGTTTTGAAGATCAAATTTTGGCCATTCGTACTAAAGAGATGAAAGTTTTAAGACAAGCTGCTTATTTGAATGCTGGAACATCGTTTTTATGGTCATGCGCACCGTTTTTGGTAAGATAAATTTATATTTTGAAAACTTTTTTTTACATTTTTATTCCATTAATAAAGAAGGTTGATTAGAGTTATGAGTTCAATTTTTCCACGTTAAAGTTTCTACTGATAAGAAAATTTCTATGAAACATGTTGAAGTAAATGTGATAAAAGATTTAGCTTAAATTAGATCGAATTGATTCATTTTTGGAATAATCAGAAATATTTTTATTTATTAAAAATTATAATTATATAACTTTAACAGAATAGTATTTGAAAATTGCTCCTTTTAATGATAAGAGATTAGACTCATGACGTGGATGGAATTTAATGCATATCTCTGTTTTAAGATTTAAAATGTTATTAGAATATGTTATAATATATATGTTATAGAATATGTTTTAACATTAATGTAAACTTTTGATGTTAAGTAGATTGTTTGGACGAAACATGGTTTGTTAAAAAATCGTTAGAAAACTTTTATATTGATTATTATTATATTTTGATTAAATTTAAAGCGTAAACGATTATTTCAAATACAAAAATCCGTATTGAAAGGATTATACAGGGTGAGTTATTAGTATCCTGGCGGACGATACTTGCTAAACCGTTTGAGAAAGAAAAAAATGTTTTATACAAAAGTTATTTAACTCACCACTTTCTATTACGTAAAATTATTTTCACTTATACAGGTCTTCAATTGTTTTTCCAAAATGTGTCCATTGCTGGATCTTTTTAAAAACGATGTAAAAAGGACATCTTTTCCGTTACGCTTAAATGGAACACCCCTGTATAAGTGAAAATAATGTTATGTAATAGAAAGTGATGAGTCAAACAACTTTTGTATAAAATATTTTTTTGTTTTTCAAACGGTTAGTAACTATCGACCGCCAGGATAGTAATAACTCAGCCTGTATATAACAAATTAAATAAAACATGAACTATATAGGCTATTTTTCTGTAAGAATTTATTAATACATTTGACACGGGTTTTGGTAAAATTAAGTTATCATCTTCAGCCAAAGATTGGCAAAGTCAAAAAAAATCAACGTCGACTTTAAAATAACAAAAAAAACATTAATTAATAATAAAACATTCAGTCAATTTTTAATAAAAGTCCTTGAAGAAGATGCAAATCGTAAATAATAGTTATTTATATTACAAGTGGGCTAGAAACATAATCACACGAGTACTGTAATTATCCTCTAGCCCACGTGTGATACACATCATTTTATCTACGACCGCTAAAAATTACTAAAAAAAAAATTTTTTAAAAAGGTCTACATATTTTGATATTTATAAAAATATTTTGAAATGATTGTTGACAGTTTTGAATTAATGTCAGTTTTAATAACATGTTTACTCATCTGGAATAAGTGTTTAGAAGTGTAAAAACATAACAATTAATGTTTACAATAAATAGTATTGTTTCTCTTTAAATAGGTAGATAAGAGGATTATTTTTTATATGGGTTGGGTTGACTTAATTTACGACATTTACCTAAAAATAAACACCACTACAAACTGTATTAATAAATTCGTACAGAAAAACATAAGAGGCTTATATTATTTTTTAATTAATTAATAATCTACAATTAGGTAACTTTTGCAACTTTCATCACTTTCAACTACAGCAGTGTAGACAACATCATGACACCTCAAGTAGTTTTTGTCTCGATAACGTTATTTAATATAATGCGTATTGAGATGTTACTGCTACCCATATTGATTGTATACGCAATCGAGGTATATTAAAAAATCAGTTAATCGTTTTTTTTTTTTTTTCTAAAATGGATTTTAAACAATATTTTTGGACTTGGTTCTTATCCCTTTTCTAGGTGGTTGAAACGATTTTTCGATACATTTTTTTCAAAACATTTTTTTTAACATCATTTTTCATAGATTCATCTTAACCTTAACATTTTTTTACTAATGCTTTAGGTTGCTCTGGTTACTTTCGCAACCTACGTACTGGTCGACGAAAATAACGTGCTTAATGCATCAAAGGCCTTTGTATCATTATCTTTGTTCAATATACTTCGTTTTCCGCTCAGTATGTTACCCATGATGATCTCAAATATGGTTCAAGTAAGCATTTTTTTCTATTTATTCATTTATATTAATTTTCTAATAATTTTCTTATTAACAATTTCTAAATTAATTAGGGATTTTTTTAAAATATATTAATCTTTTTTATTAATAATATTAGGCTTGGGTTTCTATACAAAGAATAAATAAATTTATGAATTGTGATGAATTGGATCCCTCGAATGTTGGTCATAATAAAGATGAAAGTAAGTTACAAAAAGTTTTACTTTTTTGGCATAAAATAATTTTAATTTTGTATTCAAATAGCACATCCATTAATTATTGAAAATGGTAATTTTCATTGGGGTGACAACCCTGTTTTAAAAGACATCAATGTGAAGCTCGCAAAAAAAAGTTTAACTGCAGTTGTTGGTTCCGTGGGTTCCGGAAAAAGTTCTCTTCTCTCCGCTTTATTGGGCGAAATGGTTAAAACATCGGGAACAGTGAACACTATAGGCTCGATAGGTTACGTTTCACAACAAGCCTGGATTCAAAACGCAACTTTACAAGACAACATTCTTTTTGGAAAAAATTACAACAAGAAAATTTATGATCGTATCGTAGATGCATGCGCTTTAAGACCAGATTTTGAAATGTTACCAGCTGGAGATCAGACAGAAATCGGTGAAAAAGGCATAAATTTATCTGGCGGGCAAAAACAAAGAGTTAGCTTGGCTAGAGCCGTTTATGCAGATGCTGATGTTTATTTACTCGACGATCCATTAAGCGCTGTCGATAGTCACGTCGGAAAACACATTTTTGAAAATGTAATTGGGCCAAATGGATTATTAAAAAATAAAACGAGGGTTTTGGTCACGCATGGAATAACATATCTACCTCAAACTGATAAGATTGTTGTTATAAAAGATGGGGAAGTTTCCGAAACTGGATCTTATCAAGAATTGTTGAATAAAAAAGGAGCTTTCGCCGATTTTCTTTTACAACATATCACCGAAGCTGTTGAATTAGATGATGATGAAGGTATGATTCGTTTTATTACCCAAAAATTGCGAATTCATAAATTAATTCAATATTTTTAGAACTAGATGAACTACAAGGCCAATTATCCAATCAATTACCGGATGATTTAGCTCGAAAATTAGCAACCCAAATAAGTCGAACACGAGCTTCTGAATCAGAGTCCGGGTCTGAAAAATTAAATGGAAGTCTTCAACATCAAAGTAGCATAGATAAAAGCGGCTTAAGAAAACGATCAAGTTCATCGAATGAAATTCAGGATAAGAAAGTTGGAGAAAAATTAATTGAAGCGGAAAAAGCGGAAACTGGAAGCGTAAAATGGCCTGTTTACAAACATTACTTAAGCTCGATAGGGGCAACATTAACAATCGCTACATTAGCTTTGAACATCGTTTTTCAAGGTTTTAGCATTGGTTCCAATTTTTGGTTGACAATTTGGACTAGTGATGAAAGTGTGGTTACTCATGATGATAATGGAACGATTCATGTTGATACTAGAAAACGAGATATGTATTTGGGAGTTTATGGAGCTCTTGGAATTGGCCAAGGTATTTATTGCGTTTTTTATTGCATGGAACTAAAATAAAAAGGAATGATATTTTTTTTTTTTAGTAGGTAACCTTAATTTATTTTATTTTGGTCTATAACACCATAGTTTTAAAGTATTAATATAATTTTAATACAAATAGAATCTAGAAGAAAGATTATAAACCAAAATAAAACCTATTATTTTCTTAGTAATGATAATGTGCATGATTTAAAAAATATTTTTCTTCAATTCTTGCTTATTATTTCTTTTTGCTTTTTAGCTTTTATTTTTTTAATACTAAAAAATACCTGCCAGTTTTAACAAAACCGATTCATACAAATTTCTTCTACATATTTATTTTAAATTATTAATAACCTCTTTTTAGGCATCACCATCTTAGGTTCAGTGCTATGTAACTCGCTTGGTTGTTTAAAAGCAGCCAGGTACATGCACATAAACCTATTGTATTCATGCTTGAGGTGGCCCATGCAATTTTTCGATACAAATCCACTGGGTCGTATTTTGAACAGATTTTCAAACGACGTCCAAGTCGTCGATAATTACTTACCATACATTATCTATTCCTTACTATCAACTACTTTTTCGGTAACTATTTTTATATTTTCTTTCAAAATAATAGTATAGAAGCACCTTCTAAAAATTGCTAATTATAAGATATGTCTTGCTTACGGTTTCTCAAACGTTCAGTAGCACTAAGTAATGGTACCAAACAACAACATTTTAAAAGCATTTCATTTTTAAAATCAATTCTTACATCGAAAACTTTTTTATTTTTAAAATCATTTCAGTCTTTTGACCATTGCTTTGGTTATTTTTGTTTTGCTGTCGTTTAAGTGGTAAGGTCTTTGAAAAAGGCGATCATATTTTTATAAGTTTTATCATTACTTTTCTAAAAAGATTCCTTTTATTATTTTAACACTACTTATAATTTATTTGCATCGAAATGATTTTTTTAATCACGATATCGTCTTGTAATCATGAATTCTTCTTGGGTACTAAAATTATTATATATACTTAATTACTAAGTATAAACTATCTTATTGTTCTCAGAAGTGACATTTTAATTTTAAAATAAGCAAGTAAGAAATTCTTAAGTAAAATAACCAAATAAAAAACTTCAACTCACTATTTTTATATGGTATTGCTAAAATAATAATGTACAATAACTTCATCAAATAATCAGAACGAAATTTTTATAATAGTAAATACACATATGTATTAATCGAATCTTTATTTAAAGTACAAAGTTTATACGAAAAAAACTAGAAACAATATTCAGGTTAAGTGCCGCTTCTAGTTTCTGGATTTAGTTCAAAAGTAAAAATAATCAAAGTTGATTTAATGCTCTGCAAATCCTGATTCATTTTCATTACAATTTCAAGTAATGTACATAAATATTGCACCATGTGTCAATGTCATATAAAAATAAAAGTATTAAAGTAGTAAAAAGAGAATTTCTTACTAGTTTTGAACCATAACGACTATTAATAGTTTCTCTATGGTCTTTAAAATATCCAATCGAGTTAATCCAATTCTTGACATTATTGGCTTAGTCCGCTTCTCCATATTTTTTTTATATAACATACTATAAAACTAAATTAAAACCAATTAAAACGTAATTTTTAAAATATTTATTACAATTATGGAATAAAAAACTTGAGGTGATGTCTGCTTTAGTTCATTTCTGTTTTTGCTATTGTTTGAAATGGTATGAGGTTTTTGAAATGGGCAATCGATTATCTTGATATACTTTTGGTGTTATTCAAACCTTTTCTCCAAAATTTTCCTGGCAAAGTTTGTTTAATACTAATGATTAATTGATTTGCTTTGTAAAACGTCTATTATTTTCTGTGAAATAAAACGAAATTAAAACTTAAGTTGGATACTAACAAAATTTTAAAAAAATGTTTTTCGTTATTTATTTTTTTTTTTTTGAAATTGTGATTTTGCAGCGTTTGCCATGTGTGTATCATCACTGGCCCTATTTCTTGGCACGGTGGAAGGTGCCCGTAACATGCACAATTACATACTGCGTAATGTGATGAGAGCACCGTGTCCGTCGTTTTTCGATGTTACGCCATTGGGTCGCGTTTTAAATCGGTTTAGTAAAGATATCGAGATTTTGGACAACGAACTTCCGATGACGTGGCGCGGCTGGACTACCTGCCTCTTTTCGGTACTTACACAAAAATCTTTTCAATCTACTTAACTTTTATTTAATTATTTTTATTTATTTATTTTTTTTAATTTTTGGCCATGAGCAGTTATATTTAATTGCAAACCCCCATTTTTCTCTTATTCTGTTACTATTTTTACTCTAAATTTTTGAATTTAGCAGTTTTTGTTTTTGCATTAGTAGAAGATGTAGATAAATTAAGTAGTTTAATTTAAAATTAAAAAGCGCAACGAAAAAAAAAAAAAAGAAATTGATAATTTTTCTAGCAATTTCGATATGTTCTTCCGAATTAAATATGACCTTAGCTTCGATCAAAGGCGCCGCAAAACTCCATAAGCACATGTTGCACAACATTCTTCGGCAGCCAAATCACTTTTTCGAACTTATCCCAATCGGAAGAATCTTGTCCAGGTTTTCCACCGATATTACGACACTCGATCAAGAACTTAATTTTAATTGTTACGAGGTTATTGAAAGTGGTTGTATTGTAAGTCGTTCTAATTTTAAACCATCCTTTAAATGTCATAAGAAAAGTTTTAAAAGTTTATAATACCTAAATTGCTCAAATTTACAAAAAACGAAATAAATTTATACAGGATGTTTCATAATATATGCGCAGGACGTCAGAACGTGTAAAATGCACCATTTTCGAGAACCCTGTATTTCAACACCCTGTATCTCGAAAATGGTGCATTTTAGAGGGTAAGTTGATAGAAACTATTTTTCAAATTTTTGGACAAGCTATCACATCGTGAAATCCTGCGCATATATTATGAAACACCCTGTATAAAATCAATTAAATTTTACATAAATTCAAACTTTTAAAACATTTTATATTTAGCAGTTATATTTACGATGTTAACTGTTATCGATTTTATTAACCTCATTTTCTTCTAATTTTCTTGAGAATATGTAGATATTGGATGATCACACCATATTTTTTTCATTTACCACTCTATCGATTGCACGTAATGTTTCAATGTTTGCTTGTATTTTTCGTTTATTATGTTATTTTGCAAAAAAAAATTGTTTTTTAAGTATGTATGATAGTAAAACGTTTGAATTTATAAATTTTTATAAATTGGGTTATGTGTAAATCAGTTTGGACTTATTGTATGCCGCTTTTATTATCTTTTAGTGTTTATTTTAACGTTGTGGGAATGCTGGTATGTGAAAGGTACTAAAGACGCTGCGTTTCGTATACACCTCAAATTATTAAGAAACGTTCTGCGCCTTCCAATGCATTTTTTCGATGTAACGCCCGTTGGCAGGTTATTAGCGAGGTTTTCTAACGACGTCGACGTTGTTGATACTCGTTTACCGATGAGTTGTCGACATATTTGTCAACCCGCAGTCAGGGTACGTTACTATTTTGTTTTTTAATTAATTAGTTTATTCATTCACATAATAATTATTTTAAATAATCTACGCCTATAATCTGTAAGTTAATTCACCAGTGGCTTTTATCGATTCAATTCGCATATCTTAAGTAAATTTGCTATAAAATTGGGTAACGCATGATTTTTTATTTAGATTTTCTTTTTGCTAACACAGGGATACATCAAAATTTTTAGATTTGAAATTCACTTTATCTACCATTTTATATAAACCTTTTTTTATCATTATTCAATTCCAGCGCTATCAATCATTATTTGGGAATTCATTTACGCCAGCGGAATCATTAGATGCGCTTTGACGATTCATGCTCATTTATTGAATAATGTTTTACATCTACCAATGGCCTTTTTTGATACGACGCCGATTGGAAGACTTTTGTCACGGTTTTCAAGCGACATTCATGTCATCGACATTGGTTTACCCTCGATTATGAAGAGTTGGACGATGAACATCTTTAAGGTTTGTTCCAAAATTTTTTGAAAACATGGACATTTTTTCGAAATTTCAATATTTCCAAATTAATTCGTTTAATAGATTGTTTTGTCCGTTGTTGGTGATTTTCGTATTAAATATTGTGTTAAATAGATTGAGTTTTTGGTATTTCTTGAAAAAATCTTTTGAAAATATTTTCTAAAATTAATTTTGAATTTTTTAACCTTGGTTTTGGATTATGAAAATCTTTTGTAAATATGTAACCAATTCTGTTACACCTACAGTGTCAAAACACACACAATTTTACTCATAATTTATTTTCAGGAGATTAATCATGCATATCATTGACTCAACTATCTTGTTATTTACACAAAACTAACATTTAATACCTTAACTAAATCAAAATTCACAAAAAAATCATGTAATTATTTTAAAGCAAGTAATTTGTTTTTATAATACCAAGTTTGAAAAATTTAAAAATGTTTTTAAAGAAGAATTCTTTCAGCAATCACATCAAATTTCCACAAATTTTGTTCGCTGACCTGAATTATACAGTGTAATGTACTTAGAACTCCTTAACTAACTATTGATGTATTCACTTCATAAAAATGGATTCCACCTTGTCTTCTTTTAACATTGTTTTTTCAGCAATCGGCGCTGTTTTCGATATTTTACCACAATTAAGCGCTTGGTACGTTGCCAGTAAATTGCACAACGTAATGCTCTCGAATCTGCTAAGAACTCTTCTTTCATTCTTTGACGTAACTCCACAAGGTCGTATTTTAGCCAGATTCGCTGTTATCTGGTTTTTTGAGGTATTTTTTGTAATATCAATCTTTTTTAACAAATTTCATTAAAGTATTACATTGTCTATTTTGATTTATGATGTTTTCTTATTTGTTTTCGATGATTGTTTTGGTTCTATTATGTTGAGTTTTTGGAATTTGATGGAAACATCTTCTGAAAATGTTTTGTAAAAACATAATTTATATATTCTTCTTTTGGGGTTGGGTTACTTTAAATTTATTTTGCTTTTGGAATACGAAAATGTATGGTAAAAGAGTTTTTGTTAATTACAAGTAAAAATGAAAACAATTTACATTAACATTTTTATACCACATATACTAAACATGCATTTATTTGTATTTTCAGAAGATAAACCAAACAAATCACTAACTCAACTTACATTTACGAAAAACTTAACACTTACTAACTCAAAATAAAAATGATTCACGCATATTTTTTTAGGAGCTTCTACATATTTTTTTAAACATTACTTTTTTCTAACACCTGCTTCTTTGTACATATATTGTCCAATTCATTAACTAAAATTGGTTTAAGCACTTCATAAAAGTGGTTTTCACCTTTCCTTCTTTTAACATCATTTTTTCAGCAATCGGCGCTGTTTTCGTCGATGTTTTACCACAATTAGGCGCTTGGTTCGCCGCCCGTAGATTGCATAACGTAATGCTATCGAATGTACTAAGAACTCCCCTGTCGTTCTTTGACGTAACCCCACAAGGTCGTATTTTAGCCAGATTCGCCAAAGATATTGAGGATTTGGATGATCATTTACCGTTCCTTATAACCGATGCTGTTATCTGTTTATTTGAGGTATTTTCAATAGCACTATCTACTATTTTTGCTACAATAAATCGTATCAAATAAAGCAACAACAAAAATAATCATATTATAATAGAAAATGCAGGTACCAATACAGGGTGGATTGTGTAAAAAAATATTTAGAAAAAACTATAAATCTTATTAAATTTTTGATGTTTCATGCAGGATAGCTAAAAGATATAGAAACGGCTTAATTTCTAAGGAATCACTCATGGAATTGAAAAATTTCATAGAGGTTCAGGAATTTATCATTGGAATATGATGTTTAAGATTTTTTTCATGGAGGTGTAATTTTGGGGAAGGATAACTGTAATTTCTTAGTAATTGTTGGTTTACCTCTACAAAATCAGATACAAAGACTATGAGTTGACCACGTAAAAAATAATTCCTTTACTAAAACACAAGAATGACCGAGTTCGTTATTGATACTTTTCTGAAAACTAATTAAGTGTTACATGGAAATGCTGAAGAAACTCTAGATTCTAACAGTTCTAGAAACAATAACATTCTACTACAAAAGAATACCTCTAATTTCATTCTTCCATACAATCACACAAATTATACCCCGAAAGTGGTAAGGACCTTTTTATTCTTTTTCTTTATTGGAGGCTTCCTGGGTATTAGATAAACATAGACAATTCTGCTATACATAAGATATATGTTCTGTCAATTTAATTCTTTTATTTAAGCAATTTCTTGTATAATAAACAGTAGGGACTCAGCCTATTAATAAACTTGTGTCCGAAATTTCTCGATGTCAAAATAAATTAGAAATTTTTAATAACAATCTTAATTTTTGATACACCAGTTGAAACGATTTGAAATTGAATGCCGAATTCTTCAAAATAACTGAAGATCTTCACGAATATCATTACACACAAAACATTAACGCTTCTTCGGTATTAACAGGTGATTTAAACCAGTGATTTAACGTGACCACAAATACAAAAATCAAATGGAGTCATATACAGGGTGATTTATTACCTCACCGTCAAACTTTGACATATGATAGCTAATCCAATTACCAACAAAAAAATCTTAATGAACATATGTTCTATTTCAATTATTTACGAAATTATAACACTTTAAAGTTTTCTGCAGCGAATTTATTAATAGTCAGTAAAATCAAACATTCAACAAAAACAAAGTTGTCATTGTAATATGTCAATTTGCTGTAAGGTTTAATTTATTATTTATTACATACAAGAAGAAACTCAAAATGTACGCTTATAGCACTGAAGAGTATGCTGATATAATTTTCGTGTATGTTATGTTATTTTTGCAATGGAAAAGCTATTCGACCGCATGTATTAATGTAGAGGACGAAGAAGCTGTAATTAATTCTGTCATTGATAATCCTTCCATCAGCACTCGAAAACTAGCACACAACATACATGTAAGTCAAAATTTTGTATGGCGCATATTGAACCGCGAAGTCCTTCATCCGTATCGTAAACAGAATGTTCAGCCAGGAGATAATCAGCAACGGTTAGCATTTTGTGAATGATTATTGCAGCAACATGTCCAAAATAATGACTTCATTTCAAATGTTCTCTGGACAGATGAATCATGTTTTACACGAGATGGTATAAATAATTACCATAATGAACATATCTGGGCATTACAAAATCCGCATGTGATTAGACAATATTTGTAATATTTATGTGTTTTAAAAAAAATGTTGCAGTTAATTATGATATAAAAATTAAAACTTTAAAGTGTTATAATTTCGTAAATAATTAAAATAGGACATATTTCAAGTTTGATGGTGAGCTAATAAATCACTCTGTATAGTGAACGTGCAGGCCAAGAAATCGGCCCCTTTTTCCGATCCATCTGTTTGGAAATTATGCATTTAGATAGTTTCGGCAATTTAATCCAAAGTGTGCTGGTGCATTATCATGCTGAAAAACAATATTTCTTGGAATATTAGGTGGAATATTTGCATGCAATTCTGGTAGAGTATGTTGCAGAAAAATGCTATACACATGGTTAGATGGTTTCCATAGATATATAGTTAGATAATTTCCAAACCCAACCCAACCCAACCATATGATTATGTACGCTTCATAATGGTCAACAATTTTTAACTTTTTTTATCTCCATACTGAATAATTTCCAAATACTAGATATTATATTATCAATAAAAAATGTTTATGTAGACAGTGTCCTCGATCATTTTTGAAAATTAAGTTGTATAATTTGATATGACGTCCATGATTGGTTATGAGTTATGACTAACCATATATTATCATTCATCCCTTGATATATTAAGCTGTTTCTATACATTTGATTGCTACTCTGCAAATATGTTTTACCAAGCCATCTAGAATTTGTTTTCTCAAATATTCTTTTTTATATTTAAGAAATCACAAAAATTAATAAAATTAAAAATAAATCGTTGAGATTTATAGTTTTTTTACGTTTATCTTTAAGGTGGGATATAATTTATTTATTTTAGATAACAATGAGGTATCGTATTGCTTAATATTTTTTAAAGCAAATATAAAAAAATTATTTTAAATTAATAAGCAATTTCAACAAAGTTTTATGAATGTCTATTTTTGTTTTTTAGAGATTGTTGTATATTTAAAATTTTTATAGTAAATTCATCAACCATTTCATCATAGAATTGTAGTCGCTTTAGAACCTTTTTAACTACAATAAGATCCATGTTTTTCTCAGTAAATCCCCATAATAAGAATAGATTTTTCTGTGAATGTTTTGTCTGGATATTTTGTTGTGTTACCTTTTTGACCCATTTTTGTTACCTTTTTTGTCTCAAATTCATTTGAAAAAAGTCAAAAAAAATCTTGCCTCATTTATTGTTGTTGGGAAACCAAAAAATTTGGTACCGATATGTTTAAATATAACTGCTTTCGTTCAAAAGCTTTTTCTGTTGAATCAAAATCCAGTTTTCTTTTTGCATTTTTGCACGTTTATTTATGACGAATTTCTTTTTCTTTAGGTTATAGCAACATTATTCGTAATCAGTTTTACGACACCTTGGTTTGTAGCCGTAATTGTTCCCATTGGCGGCATCTACTATTTTGTACAAAGATTTTACGTAGCAACATCGCGACAATTAAAACGTTTAGAATCTGTATCTAGATCGCCGATTTATTCACATTTCGGTGAAACGGTTACCGGAGCTCCCATTATAAGAGCGTTTAACGAGCAGCAAAGATTCACCACGGAATCCGAAGGAAAAGTCGATTTCAATCAAGTTTGTTATTATCCGAGCATAATTGCCAATCGATGGCTGGCTGTTCGATTAGAAATGGTTGGAAATTTAATTATTTTATTCGCAGCACTTTTCGCCGTTATTATGAAAGATCAAGAACCAGGTTTAGTTGGTTTATCAGTCAGTTATGCTTTACAGGTAAAGACACTTCATACAAAAAGTGTTATAAAATTATAGTGTTCTAATTTAGATAACTCAAACTTTGAACTGGTTGGTAAGAATGACTTCGGATGTTGAAACTAATATCGTCGCTGTTGAGCGTATTAAGGAATATGGCGAAACGAAACAAGAAGCTCCTTGGGATATTCCTAATAAACAACCAACTACAGATTGGCCAAGTAAGGGAATGGTTGAATTTAGGGATTATGCCGTCAGATATAGGGAAGGTTTAGATTTGGTTTTGAAAGGGGTTAATTTTACTGTAACTGGTGGGGAAAAGGTTGGAATTGTTGGAAGAACTGGAGCTGGAAAATCTAGTTTAACGTTAGCTTTGTTCAGGTAACAACAAATTTATTTTTCTCTATAAAATTGTATTAATAATTTGATTTGTTTTATTAAAGAATTATTGAAGCCTCTCAAGGTCAAATTTACATCGACAACATCAACGTCTCTGAGTTAGGTCTTCACACATTGCGTTCGCGATTAACAATCATCCCTCAAGACGCCGTTTTATTCTCTGGAACTCTTCGCATGAATTTAGATCCGTTTAATAAACATTCAGATAATGATGTATGGACTGCTTTAGAGCACGCTCATTTAAAATCGTTTGTAAAAGGTAAACGATTTGTACTTAAATAATTATTATAATCTAAATAACTTTTGGTTTTTATTTAGGTTTAGCTGCTGGTTTAAATCATGAAGTATCAGAAGGAGGTGAAAATTTATCAGTGGGTCAACGTCAATTGATCTGCTTGAGTAGAGCTTTATTAAGAAAAACGAAAGTACTAATATTGGATGAAGCTACAGCTGCTGTTGATTTAGAAACGGACGATCTTATTCAAAAAACGATAAGAACCGAGTTTAAAAATTGTACAGTTTTAACTATTGCGCATCGTTTAAATACCATTATGGATTCTGATAGGGTAATAGTTTTGGATAAAGGGAAAATCGTCGAATTTGATTCCCCCTCGAATTTGTTAGCTGATAAAAATACAGTATTTCATGGAATGTGTAAAGACGCAGGATTAGTTTAAACAATTTTTAATTGAGTTTTTGTCTTATTTTTTTTGTATTACTAACTGAATTTAAAAGAAAATAGCATAACTTAGCGTTATAAATGTTGTAGAATCCAAGGTTACCTTAATGTAAATATCAATCCGTTATTTTAATCCGATTTTATCTTGCAGAATGAAAAATCAATTCGATATTGCATCTGATTATTTTATATATCTTTTTGTTGATTTTTTATAGGTACTTAATGTTTGTTACGCGATAAAGAAAATCATAGAAACTTGCCTTACAATTAATGTACTTTAATATTTTTATAATAACACTAAAAAAAATGAAACAACAAAAAATAAATTGTAAAATTTATACTGTAATAACATTATTTTTAATCGTATGTTTTAAAATGTTAGGGGGTTGGTACTGTTTATTAGTGTGTTATTGTATAAGCTAGACAAAGATATTGCGTTTGTGATGCGTTTTACCTCATTCACCTCAAATTTTCCTATAAATACAAATATCTACTTACAGAAAAGAATTATAGGTACATACTTAAAACATCTTAAAAAGAATATATACGTTTATTATTAATTTTGTTTTATTTTGCTTTAAATCCAATATGAAAAGTTTCTTATCATCATTTCAACAATTAATACAAGAAAGAGGAATAATGAAAAGAGGAATGGTAATAAACAAGAACAATAATAAAAACATGAAAATAATAGCAGTAGAGATGAAGTACCTATGCAAAATATTGGGGAAACCAGAAGAGGAACAAGAACATCAGAGAAGAAGAACTAAGCTTAAGCCTCCTGGTACAGGAAATAATGGGAAAAGAACTAAGTTGGTGTGGTTATCTGGTTCGTACGAAAGAAGATGGAATACCTAAGAAAATGTTCAACATGAGGTCAGAAGTCAGAAGGAAACAGAAAGCGTGGTAGACCAAGAGCCCTAAAACAAATAGGGAGAGATTCGCTGAAGTATAGACTATGGGCAGAAATGGGAAGATGTATAAAAGATAAATCCAAAACCCAACACCGTAAGGTATAAATGGGGACAAAAGAAAGAAGAAGTATTTATAAAAAATCAATAGCTTTAATTTAATTAAAACTTTAATTTTAATAATTCAATAACTAAATTTAAGTTGGTAACATTGATTCGATTTCATTTCAACTTCAGATTCTTAAAAACAATTTTTAATAACCAATTTCTTTTATAATTTCATTTAAAAGAAATTACTTTTAACATAAAAAGAAATATAAAGTATCTATCTAAACATTCCGTTAACTTTAAAAAGTGATTAAAAAAAGCTTTTAATTTTTCAATCTGCGACTGCTCGAAACCGATCAAAGAACGTCAAGATACCTAACCAAATAAGAGAGAAAGAGAAGGAACTAGACAAAATGCCATGTTGAAATTTTTTTGCTTCCTGTCTCTCAACTCAACCCGTCTCAACCGTTAGTTCGTTGCTTTCGAAGACGTGTTTTACTTTTCCCACCATTCCCGTTTTCGTTCCCTTTTATTAATTGGAATCGGTTCGTATGTTTGATCAATGGCTGAAAACGTAGACGAATTGTTCGAGTGCTTCGATGAGAAACCTACCGCCAAACGATTAAAAACCGTTGAAATTGATGAAGATGAAGACAAGGGTGATGGTAAACCCGCCAGCACCAGCAAAAGTACCGTTGATTGGTTAGTAAGACATAACCTCAAATGGCGGCACGCTATACTTTAATCTCGTTTATCTTTTCGTTTCAGCGGACCTGGAAGCAGCGAGGGCGTTAAAAGAGAAGGGGATGATGTTGAAAATGTCGTTATTAAACGGACCAAAATCGAAGATGATCTTACGTTGGATGAAATTAAGTAAGAGAAATTTTCTTTTTGTTCTGCCATTTTCTTTGAGGTTATCCTAACCTTACTTTTTTTATTATTTTTTTGTTGACTACTTTTTTTTTCATTCTTTCGATAATATGTGGTTAATTTACTACATTTTTGGCATTTTACAAGTTTATAAAGAGAGTAGCCGTTATATATTGTATAATAATGTAATACCATAAGACAACATCCCGAAGAATGTGAACCTAGCCGTATGCTAATTGTAAAGAAATCCAATTTTTTTTTTTTTGTTAAATTGTAATGTTATCTATTTTTTTTGTAATTCGCGATGGTAATGAAAGCTATTACAGTACTCAAACGGGCGCTGTAATGAGACTCCTTACAGTACCCGATGCTGTAATAAAATTTTAATAACATTTTATGGAACCAGTTCAAGTTAGTGACATTGGGTCATTAATTTTTCTAGTTGTCAATGTGACAACTAATAAATTAATTTTTAAATAGCCTATTGTTGTTCATACCTTTCGTGGGACTTCTATGGAAGTAGTTTTTTAATAGAACTCTGAGCAATTTCTCTCTTATTTTGGGAGGTGTATATGAAACATTTTCTTCAGGTGCATACATTTTGTGTTTTGACAGAATTCAAATTTCTGTTTTCAAGTGTTACCAACTGTTACATACCTATTTCCCTACATTGCACAGTGGTCCATTTCATAAATCTAGGTGGACAAAATTAATATTGATAAAAATACAACTTTTTTGGACATAATTATATTCAGAAACTCATAAAAATTTTTTTAAAAGTCTTCATCACTGCATGAGGGACAAAATTCTAGAGAATAGCCATTATACAGGTGTATCTGAATGACTGCAACAAACTTCAAGGGGTGATTATTTAGTGAATTTTAAGGGCACTTTCATATATGAACCATGGACGACTTTGGCTCCCCTAAGGAGCTATACCCCTCCAAAAATGGCGGAAAATTTTGGTTTAATTTTTTGTTTCAAAAACCATAAACGCTAGAAAAATGAAATTTGGAGACGATGTTTAACTCATAATAGGGCACGTTTTGATTCTATTTGTACTTGCAACCTACCCTTCTAAACTACTAAGCCTAACCACCCCCATTCAATTTATGCCTAAATTTTTTCTTGGAAAAATTCATTGGAAAAATTTGATTTAGATAGATGAAAATATTGTAAAACTTTCGTGGGACTTCTCTGGAAGTAGTGTTTTAATAGAACTCTGAGCAATTTCTCTCTTATTTTGGGATGTGTATATAAAATATTTTTTTCAAGTGAATACATTTTGTGTTTTGACAATTTCTAATTGTTACATACCTATTTCTCTAGATTGCACAGTGGTCCATTTCATAAATCTTGTTGGACAAAATTAATATTGAAAAAAATACAACTTTTTTGGACATAATTATAAAAACTCAAAAAATGTTTTAAAAGTCTTCATCACTACTGCACAAGGGACTAAATTCTTCCTAAAATCTGTCGACTCCTCCTCTGCAGTGATAGATTGCTGCTCTTGAGATGACTTGTTTAATAATGAAATTACTTCATCCGAAATATTCTCTATTTTCTTAGGAGCTAGATCTGAAGTTTGTAATTGGCGAGTCTGACGAAACTAATAACATATTGAACAGATCCTCGGTGTTGGTGATTCTGGACGTTTTGTTGCGCGCTTGCTGCGCTTCCTCAGAAAGCTGCCCAATAGGAAGAAGAGCAGATTTAACAATGTCCGATCCATGAATTAAAAGTTTATGAAGACTTGCCTGCATGTAATACCAATTATATAATTGAACATACAACTTAGCAGTTTTATGGCATATTCTTCAAATGTTTCCAAATTTATTTCGTATCCACTCGCAATTACCTTTAATAAAACTGCAAACCGTTTAATTAGTTGCTCATTCACTCCTGTGATCGCACTGGATAGTGATGGATTAGAAAAAAATCTTCAAGCAGTGCCATCATTACTTGTTCCTTTCGAATACCTTTGTTCATTTCCTTGCGAAAGCGATCTATGCGAATTAATCTTTTTTGCTTGTTCACATTTTCCCGGTCCTTTTCTCTCACTTGCCAAGTTTGAACTTCAAGTCTCTAGGCAATGTGCAGCAGACATTCGAAGCATTTTATCCACGCGTGAAGACTTGATAACCCAAAATCGAATGTCCCTTCATCAAGAGGCGTTGATACGTGTCTAGCCAAGTATGAATGTAGTCGCAATTAATAAATTTTAACATGTTATCAATTAAAGTACATATTTTCGCCCCGTGACAAAAAAGAGCTAAAAAAACATATTATAGTAGACGCCACGAGAGCTGGCAGTAAATCATCGTTTTCCGCTCTTACAAATGCCATACGTAGTTCACAAACCGCTAGAGAGCAATGTGTGTAAGAAAGAGATAGCATTAGTTTAATATGTCTGCTGTACAATTCAAATGGCCACGGCGAAAAAGTACGTCTGTTCTTCTAAGGAACGTAACTCTATAATTATAACCTCAAATCGAAACGTCTGTGAGCGTTGTCATGAATCTGTTAGTGTTTTCACAAGCTGAAAATGTTTTCTTTGAAAGGAAAATCATTAAATAATATCTTTGACAATGTTTGACATATAACCTCCATTATTAACATCACCTATATACATTTAAATGTATGTGGTGAAATAATCTGTCAGCTCTCAGCTGGCAGTCTGTCACTGCCAGCTCTCGTGGTTTCTACTATATTTATAATTTTTCAGCTGGTGTCACATATACCCTAAAGCACTTATTCATTAAAAAAACTGGTTGCTTCGCCACTCGTTTTTAGACTTGAATTTGTGCATTTCAAGCGTGTCTAACGAAACTAGTTTTTTAATATACTTTTATTCGATTTGAAGTACATATGTAATTCGAAACTTAAATACTTTTCTGTGTTGATGTGGATTTTTAACCCTTTGTCTACCAGCGATACTTAAAAGTCTCGCAAAATATACATACTTTCACCTAATCAAAGCTAACGTGATTATTAGAATTTAAGTAGGACTTGGTGGGACTTAAAAGTACCTCTGGGTGATAAATGACGTTTTATTTTATAAAATTTAATTCTGGTAGGGAAGGGGTTAAAGTGTTTGTGTTTATGTTGACGATATCTCTAGCGGATACATTTTTTACCACCTCACATTGAGACGATTTTATTGTAATTATGAATGAATTATTTTATTTATTTATTAAAGATGAACCGGTAACCCTTTTAGTACAGATACAAAAGTGTATACTCCTAATAATATTACTTAACAAAAATGACCGGGCAGAACGATTTTTCAAACAGTGAAATACGAGACATAAATCATGTTATTTGCACAAAGAAATTTTAATGGCCAATCATGACGTGGCCTTTATGTTACTAGCTGTTACTGTTTTTTTATTTCCTGTTTTTAAATCAAAAAATACCGTATTATAATAGTAACTTAAAGCCGATTGACTTAGGCAAAATAAAAAAAACAAAGAATGTTTGAATGAAAGGAATAAAAAATTATGTAAAATTAAATTCTCATTAATAATTAATTAAAATTATAACATCGAATTTTATGTAGATACCATTAATAACATATAAAGTTTATACATGGTAATTCAAATTCGACCCCCACCATTGGGATCTCAGAAATCATAAGAGATACAGAAATGGTTAAATGGGGGCAAAGTTGCGTATCTTAGAGCTCATCATTTTTCAACTAAATTTTTGGATCAGGCCGTTTTAGTTTTTAAAATATGGCCGAAAAACAAAAAAATTACTTTTTCGTTTTTTTCCCTATAACTTCTTTATTTTTCGTTTTTTCGTGAATCTGAAAAAACATTCTTAAAGCCAAGGACAGTAGAATCTAACAGGACTGCTACATCCATTGTATTTTTGTAGTCCACTACGGATTGGTTGCCCGCACTCTACGTCACACTATTTGCCACGCCTGGTAACTGTCTGTGTTTTTAGAGGTTATATGATAGACATTAATACGTCTAAAAACATAAAACTTCAAAAATAATATGAATAAGTCTAGGATATAACCTCTAAAAACACAGCAAACGCATAGACCATAACAACAGCTGGGCGTGGAAAATGATGTGACGTAGTTTGCGGGCAGGTTGTCACAACAATGGATGTAGCAGTCCTGTTAGATTCTACTGTCCTTGCTTAAAGCAACTTTTTATGAAAAATGCCATGACAACTAGAAATTTTCTCCGACGTTTCGTTTTCGTGAAACTATCATCAGGTTTATTTTTTCTTATGAACGCCATATTTGATTTTCACACCAAAAAATAGGATAATTAATTCTGATTTCAATGATATGTCACACAATGTATTACATTTAAAAAAACATTGAATTATTTAAAAAAAAGAATAAACCTGATGATAGTTTCACGAAAATCAAATGTCGGAGAAAATTTTTTCTTTTATTATTAATTTATTTATTTTATTATTTACAGCTAAGTTTTTGTAAATTTTTATTTTCAGTTTTGATGAATTTGACAATAGGATTGTTGTTCATACCATCGAATCATTAGAATCATGTACACACGAGGTGGCTTATCCTCCAGGACAAACATATATTCCATTGCAGCCACCAAGTGGAGAGCCAGCGAAAACATATCAATTTACATTGGATCCATTTCAAAAAGAATCTATTCTATGTGTAGATAACAACCAATCAGTTTTGGTTTCAGCTCACACATCAGCAGGAAAAACAGTTGTTGCTGAGTAATTTTAAACCAAAACAATTTATTTTTAAGATTACTTTTGTAAGGTTATTATTATAGATATGCTGTGGCGACTTCTTTGCGGAATAAACAACGAGTAATTTATACAACTCCTATAAAAGCACTTTCAAATCAAAAATATCGAGAATTTTATGATGAATTTAAAGATGTTGGGTTGGTTACTGGGGATGTTACGATTAATCCAAGTGCTTCTTGTCTTATTATGACCACAGAGGTGAGTTTTAGCACAAAAAATGTTATTGAATCTAATAAATGGTTTTGTTATCATGGATTCTATAGATTTTGAGAAATATGTTATATAGAGGCTCAGAAATAATGCGTGAGGTAGGTTGGGTTATTTTCGATGAAATTCATTATATGCGCGATAAAGAACGCGGAGTTGTTTGGGAAGAAACGTTAATTTTATTACCTCACAATGTCCATTTTGTATTTCTTTCCGCAACAATTCCAAACGCGCGACAATTTGTAGAATGGGTAACAAATATCCATCAACAACCATGTCACGTCGTTTACACTGATTACAGACCCACACCTTTGCAACATTACATATTTCCTTCTGGGGGACAAGGAATTCATATGGTTGTAGACGAATCAGTAAGCAAAGAACAATCATAAAGTAAGTTTTTCTTTATTTGTTTAAATATTTTTTTAAAGGGGACATTTAAAGATGAAAATTTCAACACTGCTATGGCAGTTTTAAACTCTGGCGATGCTGCTAAAGGCGATCAAAAAGGTCGAAGGGGTGGAATTGCAAATAAAGATCCGACTCAAACTGATATTTTTAAAATGGTTAAGATGATAATGGAACGTGATTTTGCTCCTGTAATCGTTTTTAGTTTTAGTAAAAAAGATTGTGAACTTTACGCGACACAAATGACTAAATTAGATTTGAATTCAGGTAAAAAAAATAATAAATACAATCTATTTTATTATAATTTCTTTATTATATTTAGCTGAAGAAAAAAAACTTGTTGATGAAGTTTTTAATAACGCAATGGATGTTTTATCAGATGAAGATAGACATTTACCACAAGTTGAAAATTTATTACCGTTATTAAGGAGAGGTAAATTTTTCTTTTTAATTATTTAAAGATTTAGAAACAGCTGAGGTTCAAATTTCTTTTTATTCACAACAATGTCTGTAAAGAGTCCTTCTAAGAATTAGATGGTGGTTTGTCCTAGAATGTTTATTTTATAAAGAAATTTTAAGCTCAACTACCTGCTTAACACATTTTAAACAAAAAGGTTTTCATTGGATTTTCAATAACAAGTAATTTTTAGATTTATAACACCGTGAAATTTTTTCTTTCATTGTTTTTTTTTGTGTATTCAAAGAAATCTCCATAGTTGATAGTTTTATAATTTTTAAAGAATTGTTACTTTGTTATATTTATCCTGAATTTGTCAAGAGAATTTTTATTTCAAAATAAATTTCATCAAATATATAAATAACTCAATAAAAGTAATTTGTTATAGGTATTGGAATACATCATGGTGGTTTATTACCAATTTTAAAAGAAACAATAGAAATACTCTTTAGTGAGGGTTTAATTAAAGCATTATTTGCCACTGAAACATTCGCAATGGGACTTAATATGCCTGCAAGAACAGTTTTATTCACAGGTGTTCGAAAATATGATGGTAGTGAATATAGATGGGTAAATAATACATCTTTTAATTTATCCAAAAAATGTGTGAATTAAATATTATTAGATAACATCTGGAGAATATATTCAAATGTCGGGTCGCGCTGGCAGGAGAGGTTTAGATGATAAAGGAATCGTAATTTTAATGGTAGACGAAAATGTTCCGTCGAGTACCGGACGAGACATTGTAAAAGGTTTGCCGGATCCGATTAATTCCGCGTTTCATCTCACGAATAATATGATTTTAAATTTGGTGAGAGTGGAAGAGATTAATCCTGAGTATATGATGGAACGTTCATTTTATCAATTTCAAAATCAAGCTTCAATTCCAGGGCTGTATAAACGTAAGTTAATAAAGAACGTAATATTCAATTATTAATATTAAATTTAATTACTTTAGATTATAAGGAATGTATTGAAGAGCATAAAAAATTAGAAATAGAAAACGAAAATGTTATATCAAGTTATTATAACATTAGGGAAGAATTGACGTCATTGGGGAAACAATTCCAAGGTTATATCACAAAATCACAGTATCTTTTACCATTTTTGCAACCAGGAAGATTAGTTAAAGTAAGTTTTTAAATTGTTAAGGATGTTTTTATTTTTATTTTGTTTTGTTTTTGAAGCTTTAAGAAATGTGTTATGCTATCCCCACTAGAAAGTTTAGTTTTCTTCCAAATTTTGCCTTTAAACTTGAGAGACCTCCAAATTCACATTAGTTTCTCTTCACCTTTTGAGAAGTCATTCTTACATTTCATAGAGTTTGGTTTTAGTTAAGTGTTTGGTTTGTGTCTTTAGTTTGGTACTAAAGTTTAAGTGTAAATTCTATAAAAAAATCTATTTTAAAAATTCTTGTATATAACATATTCAAACTTTCATTTCGTTGATTTGAGGAAACTTATATCAAGGTATGTGTTTAAATTGTAACATCTAATATTGGTTACCCTTGTTTTACCCTTGGCATGGATAAGATTAAATGAAATTAAAGCTTTCAGGAGTTATTAAGAAAATACTAATTCATTTAAATTTCGCTGTATAGGAGAATCTCTACGACTTTTGCCGCCTTTTTTCCATAATTACACTGTTATATGTATAATTAATCACACAACACTTCTTGTTTTTAAAATCATATTTATTTTACAATTTTTTTCTGGCTATTTAATGTCATATTTTTGTGCCTAGCATCTCCAATTAAGAAATTTTCCATTTCTACTAACACTATATACAAAAATGTGTTAAAAACATATTTTGCAATTCATAGGTTAAAAATTTTCACGAAGAAAAATTTTACCTATTGTTTGTTACTCCTCTTGTTTTACATATATATTTTTTCAATTGTTTTGTTTTCTAGTATAACATTTCTTCTGATTAAGTTCCCAGAAATGTGCTCATGTTATCCCCACCAAAACTTTTTCCATTGGTCTTGTTTCTATTGTTCTATTGGCCAACCTCTGGCTTTAAATACAAGAAGTAAGGGAATCCTCCTTAGTTTTGAAATAACTTCAGATTGCGACACAACTTATATATCTTCAGTTACATGTTTTAACATTTTTGGTTAGTTTTAAATATTTTTAAGCCAATTTAACATACTAAAAAGAAATTAAAATGTTAATCAATTTTTAATTAATTTTTAACTAATCGCCAATTTTATTCTTTCATTACATCGATTTCCATAATTAAAATCCTAATTATGTGGTAATATTATGCCATTATAAATCAATAGGTTAATTAAAACTTCTTCAGATTTAATTACCTGATTAGTATTACCTTGCAACTTTTTAATTGTTCCTTGCAGATTAAGAATAAAGATGACGTTTACGATTGGGGAGCGGTTATCAATTTCATCAAAACCCACGATACTAACAATAGTGGAGGGAAAAGAGGAGGTGGAAGATCAAACCCGGCAAAAACATCTGTTAAGCTACAAGTGGACCTTCTTCTCCATGTGGTTCCAGCTGAATCAGGCGTGAATAACGACAATATAATACCGAAACCTTGTCCAGAAAATGAGGTAAGTAAAAACTGTACTTTTGTCTTTTCAAAATTCTGTTAAAATTAGTTATCTTCTTTTCTCAGAAATGTACCTGTGTATTCTTAGCTTCTTTTTATTGTTTGTTCATTTATTCTTTTACAACTTTCTAAAGGAAGAATATACTACCTGAGAGAAAGGATGTTAACAGAAATTTTAGTGTTTTTATTGCTTATGACTTATTTACCTGCTTCATTCCCCCTCCTCCTTTTTTAAATACAACTTATATTCCTTTATAATTTGAAGCATGGCGAAGTTGAAGTAGTTTCCCTGGACAGTTCACTTATAACGCACATATCATCTGTTCGTCTTTATTGCCCTGTCGATTTGCGAAGTAAAGATAACAGAAAAGGGATGTTAAAAGCGATCAAAGAAGTGAAGCGAAGATTTAGTGAAGGCCCCCCACTTTTAGACCCTATAAGCGATATGAAAATTAAAGAACCCGAGTTTGAAAATATTTTTAAGAAAATTGGGGTGTTAGAAAAAAAGTAGGTTGTTTTAAATTAAGGGGCGGTGTTAATTTTTTGATTAAAATGAACTTTTTATGTAGAATGTACGCTCATGAAATGCATAAACATCCCGATTTGAATACAATTTATGCTAATTATGAAAAAAAAGTAAAGTTAGCCAATGAAGTGATTGAAGCCAAGAAGAAATTGCAACAAGCTAAGTCAGTTTTACAATTGGACGAGTTAAAGTGTCGAAAACGTGTTTTGAGAAGGTTGGGTTATTGTACAAATGCTGATGTTATTGAAATGAAAGGGAGGGTTGCTTGTGAACTTAGCAGGTAAATTATTAATAATATTAATTTATAAACTTACAAATAAAGCTATTTGTTTCTACTTAGGAATTTATAGATTATTTTTTACTATCAGTTAGGTTTTCATTACAAGCTTAATTACAACTTCACCAATCATTTTAATGTTTCTCAATTCAAAGCGAATTTTTATCATTTCCAAAACATTAATTAATATTTGTAATCCTGGTATATATTTCAGTACTCAATATTTATTTATAAATTTGTAGTGGGGATGAATTACTTTTAACAGAAATGATTTTTAATGGCGTTTATACCTCTTTATCGCCTGCACAAGCATGTGCCATTTTAAGTTGTTTTGTTTGCGATGAAAAAAGTTCCGACCCGCCTAAATTAACTGAAGAATTATCAGGACCTTTAAGGCAAATGCAGGTATATTAATAATAATATCCTAATCTTTTTCAAACCTTAATAATTTTCCAAATCATTTAGGATTTGGCTCGAAGGATAGCAAAAGTTAGTACTGAAGCTAGATTAGAGCTTCAAGAAGATAATTACGTCGAACGGTTTAAACCCTTTTTAATGGATGTGGTTTATTCTTGGTGTAATGGAGCGAATTTTAGCGATTTGTGCCATTTAACCGACATTTTTGAGGGTTCGATAATCAGGGCGATGCGACGACTAGAGGAGCTTTTGAGGCAAATGGTGCAGGCTTCGAAAACTATTGGTAATACAGAATTAGAGGACAAATTTAATACAGCCATTAAATTAATTAAAAGGGATATCATTTTTGCGTCTAGTTTATATTTGTAGAGTCAGTTTTAATAAATACCTTCAGTACATTTTATTACATTTCGTTATTGAAAATTTATAAATTTGATTTGTATTTTAATTTTAAAGTTTATAATAAGTTTTTTACAGGTAAATATAACGATTTTTTTAATACCTGAGGTTTGAAATTATAATTCTTTATATTACATATACAAGAAGTTATGTATGCATGAACATTTTGCTTCAATAATTTTTGGTTTGTGTGCTGCTTTGCTGCTCGCTTAATTTTTGCTTGATTTTTTATATCTACAGCTTTTCCTTTTTAATCGCCAGCTTTTATGTTTTTCTTGCAAGCAATAAACAATTACAAATTAAAGCGTGTTTTAAGTCGTACATATGTCATAAGATTTTTTCAAATCATAGTACGGATAAAACTCGCCGAATTTGTGATGCGCTTCCTTTTTTGCTTTTGCACCTTCGCCTAACTGTTGTATTTTTCACTATAACACCTTTTTTTTTTTTAATCCTAGCCAACTTTTTGTTGCTCTGTTGTGTTTTGTCTTTGGTGATCTAGCCGTGTGAGTGCTTTGTTTACCTTTCACCTGGTTATTTCACCAAAATCGAAACGCGTCAGAATAGTTCCATCCAAACTTTCTGGAAGAAGAAAATCAAACAAAGAAGTCCACTACCAAATAAATTGGTGCTGTGGCGAAGGAACTGTTGGTGTGATGTGTTGCTTTTTGATGTCATATCACAGCCAATAGTTACTTCATCACATCACTCAAACCATCATCTAAATATTTTGTGATGTTTTTGTTACTTTTAAGTGTTGATGTTTTATGTTTTGTAACGCCAATTTTTTTTTGATGTATTTTTTACGAATGTTCGTATTTGGTCACATGATTATTGAAATTTGTGACTAGATCGAACATTCGTAAAACGTACATTTATTTTTCATCTATTGTTTTGTTATGTTTATATATTATACTTTTTTTTAAATTTATTTTATTCAAATTTTTTTCTGAAATCGGCGTATAACATATTAGTTAAAATTGAAATAGTTCGCATTAAATTGCACTAAATGCTATCAACGATTTCAGAAAATAAAATTTTTTTTCATTTATTGAGATTTTAATTTCTTTTGCTTCATATAGTAGCTTTTATATCGCACGAAGATTTTGATTTCGTCTAACTAGATTAGAATGTTTCGGAGATATTCTGTCATAGATTGAAGATAAGGATGTGGGTCAAGCAAAAGATGTTCTTAATTAAAAATTTATATATTCAATAAGCCAATCTTTCGTACACAATTAGCACGCATCTTGAAGACTACAAGAATCCCAAAAGCAACACTAAGCAATATAGTACAAAGTATAGATTGACGAAAAAACAATATCCAATATTAGGAATGGCCCTATGGAAAAATTGGATATAAGGAAACTTAATATCAATACAAATTCGCGATTTACTGAAAAAGTCAAGATGCTGGGATTAGAAACATCTTCATAAGGTACAGGAATAACAGAAAATTACAGATTTTCTATACAACTATTAAAAAAGGAATACTGGGAGAGCTTTTTAAAAGTCTGAAGTGCCTTCACCTGAAATAGGGTTACCTCATCTCAAAGACTTATAGGATTCACCATTAATGGATGCACCTTAACAAGTCCAAGAACTGATTGACAAATTCAAAAAGATTTTACTAAGCTGATAAACACGTCAGAAAGAGCTAGATGTGCGAAAATAAGGACATGTAGACTTTGGGATCTCGTGAGAATATTGGTAAGTGTAACTTTAGAAAATTAATAATTTAACTTACAAAGACTTAATTCGTCGTGTTTTTTTTTTGTTATAATCTTTAATCAGGTACTAATAAATGTTACACGTTTCGTTATTTTACGTTTTGTGTTGCCTTGAAAAAAAAAACAATTATGCGGGAATTAATGATTTGTTAAATAAATAAACTAAATTTGTGAAATACTTACACTAGTGTTTTCTATCTATAGCTACTTTTCACTTGGCTAATACCTACAATTATTCTGATATTTGTTTTCATTTATAGGTAAAAATATTTTATTATCTGGCTACACACTGGTTAAGCTTACAATTCTGCTGAAGAGGATTAATGGAGGTTCTCTACAAGACATTGTCAAGACTACACTTTCAAACTTCTTTGTTGGTATGTAACTAGATTTCCTAATCAATAATACTTTTTCAACCCTTGACATACAAATAAGTAAGCGAAAAATAGCATTTAATTTGGCTCAACTGAACCGTTGTTCATATCACATTTTGAAGTGAGAAAGAGTATATTTTATTTTAAAATTATGATTTAATTATATACTATAGGGCGTCCCCTGAAAACAGCTTCTGGCGAGTTAGAATCCTCAAAGTAGCACATGAAATGAACGACGACGGTACAACTTGTCATTGTACATCAAGGGATTAACTGACAATCATGACAATCGCTTGTTAATGTGCTCTACTAACATAATTTTTGCAATTTTTATCTTAATTTGCAATTTATTTAAGGCTAACTATAGTTGATGCTACATTGAAATATGAAAATAATTCAAACTAAATTATAATCAAATTAATTATAACCTTTAATTATAAATTTATAATTATAAAGGTTGTGCAGCCTAAAGTTTTTATACTGTTAAATATAATTTTTATGTTTTAATGTGTGTTTTATGACGACAACATAATAGTCAAGTATCAAATGTAGCTCATAGTTGTAACAGATGAATGTTTTTAGACATCTTCAAAAATTATCTTGGGTTTAATTGCATATTTAATTGAAGGTAGTTGAAAGATGCATAATATAAATAAGAATCAAATAAATTCTAGTATAGAATACTTGACTGAACTTTTAGAGTCTTATCAGAGTATGCAACAACTTAACTAATCATCAAAGATGACTTTAATAAGTAAATTATAGATAAGGCTTTAGATGTAATGAGAAGTATTGCAGTTTTTAACATAAAGTTTAGAGAGAGGAAGTATTAAATGCTTCAAAAAAGAAATAAAAACAAATCTATTAAGATTTGAAATGTATATATTAATTTTTGTAACAAATTTAGGTTAATAATTGATTGTACAGGTTTTTGTACAATCTACTATTACTCTACAATCTACTAAACAAAGTTTCGTATAACTATATACCTTCATCTACAGCAGTGTTGCCACACAGAGGAGGTTGTAGTACCGTACTTGAAAACGAAAATTACCGTATTTTATGTAAAAATACAAAGGTAAACAAATAGATAAAAAAATATTTAATAGCTAATAGTCTTTTGTCATCTTGTTGAATCCATGTTTCTTCATAGATATTGAGTGGCACATCTTCAAATAAAGTTGGTAAATTATTTTGGAGAAAATACAAATAGTATACGAAAGTATAAATTTTTTAAATAACGTGTTTTTTTCCAAAAAAACAGGTAATAATATTTTTTATGAAAAGAAAAATGGCAACTGTTGTGCCATTATGGAATCTTGACTAAACAGGCCATCTTTTAAAATTACTTGCCAAGCATTACTCCTTTTTTAGAAATGATGTGTCAAATTTAGTGAACATAAGTTTTTTCAACCTTAACTACCGACTTTTGTTGTTTGATTTGCGACTTGTATAGTAGCATGTTAATAAGGATTCCATTATTAAAAAAGTCGCTATTAAATTGCGAACATTTCTGACCGTAGTAGCTAAAGATATGATCTATGGGAACGATTTTTGGTATTTTTAAAATGTTTCTATTATCACTTATCTAGGAGATAAGGAATTTTTTTCTTTTATAATTCATTGTACTTTAACTGGTTTATTGTATAATTTAATTTGTCTTACTAGTTTCCCCTATAACGGCATCTTCAGAGAATTCGTCAAAATTTTATGAAAATACTAATTTTAAAGATTAACGAAATGTTTTATAGGTTAAAACTTACATTATATGGTACTAAACGTTAAAATCAAAATGGTTGAACTACGTCTGAGACTTACATATCGGAATTAATAATTTAAAAAGTTTATCAAGACCTCGTTTTATACAATGTTCGATATAATTATCTTTGAAATAGTTATTTTCTTAAAATTTGATGAAGTCTCTGAAGATGCCGCTTTAGGCGGAACTAGTAAGACAAATTAAATTATACATTCGTTGTATAAATAAATTTTACGTCTGATACACTGGTAGAATGGATAAAATTGAATTTATATTATTTTTATTTTTCGCGAGGTACCTGCTTGACTTTGAGTTTTGGGACACCTGTATACGGTTACAAGCGGAATATTATAAAATTTAACTACCGAATTAGAATCAAGAATAGGCATGAATGCACAAGAATATTATACGCCAATATAAGCAACCAAAATATTGTGGTTTTTGTTTTTACAGCACTTTACGTCATTTAACGCCATCCTTCGTATAGTACATATTTTCTTAAATTAAGTTATAGATTTCTAAATTACCGTACATTTAGTGGAATTACTGTACGTATAGTAACACTGATCTACAGGCACAAATGTTGACGGCTGGTTTCTTGCATGATTTTGAGAAAAAAAGTTCATAGAAATGGTCCTAGTATCTTCCCCTAGAATGTTACAATTCCTTGAAGTTTGATTCTAAATATGATTTTTCAACACACCTTTTATTGCGTCAGAATATGCGTCATGGCCGTTTGTATAACAAAAGACGTTTCAAATCAAATTTCAATAAGTTGTAACATTATAGGTGATGATTTTAGAAAACAAATTTATATAATCTTTCAGCATCAAAAGTATCTAAATCTTGTATAATACAGGGTGATTCTTAACCTATACGCATAAAGTGAGGGATTTATTCCTCATAATGAATAATGATTAAAAATTTAGTAGTAAAAGATTTTTTGTTTCATAGGTATCCGTGATATTTACTTTCAAATCAAGAAAACATAGAACATTTTAAAATAACATCACAGCAAGTGTTCGAACTTATTTTCTATATTTTCTATCAATTGGGCTCCCCGAATCCACGATCCCACACTAGCGCGGTCTAAACTAGGGTGTTGACGGAATGTCTAGGCAGCAGCATATATCTGATTTTGCAATATTTGCTGAGTATTAACTTCTGTGACGTACACTATGCTTTTTAAGTGACCCAAAAGGTATAAATCAAGACGATTGAAGATGGGTGATCACTGAGGCCAGGCCATTGGACCATCTCAACCTATTCATCTTCCAGGAAACACATTATTTAGATGTCGCCGATTATATCAGATACCGAGGAAACTAAAAAACTTCCTATTAATTTTTTTCATCTATTCATTCAGTTTATACGTATAGGTTGAGGATCACCCTGTATAAAGTTAATCTTTTTTTATGAAATAAATCAAAATAAATATTATTTTGTGCAATCTTGTCAAATTTTGAACATTTAAGTTTGTTGTGACAGAATATCAATATTTATGTAGACATTTTTATTTATCCACAAAATACAATGTTTTATTTTAGGTCGTCAATTCAACTAGTATCGTTTGAATAAAATTCATCGAATTTTGAAAACGACTTATTTTTCATTGTTGATGTAGCTCTGTGGTATATTTTTTTCATAAAGCTATGTCAGCAATGCATAATGTGTCGTCATTCACCAGTAAAACACCAAAAAAATAGGGTAAATACAAAAAAGAACAAAAAATTCACTTCCTAATTTCATTTATTTTGATTTGTTTAACATGTCAATTCGTAAAACTATTATTGTTCGTTTCACATTTTCATGTGCAATAGGTACTAAAGACTAGTACATTTATATTCATCTATTTTTTTTTTTCGACAGTTATGTTTGTATTACTCTAGTTTTAATTACTATAGTTTATATTATTATCATATACTACATGCATCATTCACAACTCGACATTCATAATTAATCATAAAACATAAACTAGGCAACAAAAATTGATGTGGCACAGTACGAGTTTGGATTGTAAGGTGGGAGGAGGGTGGTTTTGGGGAAAATGATTGGGAAGAATTAATAGATTTGATTGAAGGTGGTTTAAATAACTAATTTGTTAATGATGATGAATGGACTGAATGGGTGGGTTAATAAAGGAGAGGGTGGTGTTTATAAATATTAAGGGAATTTGAAGGGAAATAATAAATAATGCTAATTTTCGTTTAAGTCTAGTGGTTAACTTTAAACATCACCCAATTATTAAATAACCGCTAATTGTTAGTGTAGCGTTATCGGTGGTAAGTGATCTCCACATCTGGGGAAATTGGGTGGCACTGGTGGTAAATCTCCTTGTGTTCCCACGTGAACTACTAAACTCATTCCTATTGCTATATGGAATAAAAAGTGGCAATGGAACAACCAGTAACCTATTAAACGCAATAATTTTAGTTAAATTGTTTAAGTTAAAGCCAGTTTTAATTATACCTGGATTATCAGCTCTGAACCTAAAGATAACATAACCATTATTAGGAACAGCTATAGTATCCTTTGCGGGGGGAAGATTAAACTGCCGATGGAGCAATCCTCGTCTATCCAAATCAAGGGCATGCTTTAAATTAATTTTCTTCACATTTTGATCCGGTGATCTACCGATTCCAACCACATGGAAAGCGTAACCGTGTAAATGGAATGGATGACTTAAATTGGGAGATTGAACTAAAAGCAAAATTAAATCACCAAAAATTCTTTCAACAACTTTTTAATTCTTACCTTCATCTACGAGCACAACTTCAACAATCGCATTTAAAGGAATATCAATCTGATGAGTACACATACAATTGGTACCACAATTAGCAGGCCTATTATCTCCATTACAAAATTGTTCAGGGGAAACATCATCTAATTGAGATATTGGGGGAGCTGGTGGTGCAACGAAAGATATTTCATCCACTAAACTTATTACATGGTCTCCTCCAGGGGCGGCTAAAATGTTTTTTTTTTAATTATTAAAAATTTTAATTTATTTTTTTATTTACCTAAAAATCTATTGTATGTGTTGGGTTGAAATAATTCTCCGGGCTTGTAGAAATAAAAACGGAATGGCAGGAAGATTTTAACATCCGGTCTGTCTTGTAGAAGCGCCGCGTCAATTTTTTTCGAATTCCTTAATTGATTCACGCAAATTGCCTCTGGTCTTGGTCGATTGCAAATTGCGTCCAGTGGGTTCAACACCTATTTGTTAAGCAAGGAGCCAGTAAATTATTCTATGCGTATTTACAGTGGTTTTTGCATACCTACCATTGGGTATATTTACAGCAAACTTTTTCAGGCAAATGTATACAATGCGTATTACAAATGTATCTACGATTCTTTTATACACATAATCTATACTGTACAATATATATAGATTTTTTTAATTTATATAATGTATACATATTTACGAATTGTAATAATTTTACAATATTAATAATTTTTTTACTATAAATAAATTAAGCTACAATTACAAAACGTATAAATGAACAAGATTCAATAATTATTCTTTATATAATTATAAATAGTTTCTCAAATTTGTTTACTGGCACTGTGATATAAAGGCTAACAACAATGAATCTTTAGTTGACCAAATAGATATAGAAGAAGCTGAAATAGTTTCCATACAGTATAATAACCTGTCGATTTATCACTGTTAAAAGCTCTTACTATATGACTACTATACTATACTTATCTATCTTACAATATGACCAGTTTGCGAATAAAACTTTTCCTCCCCATTAAGTAGGACTCCCTATCTATAAACAATGTTACAATTTGTAATAAATTATGACTAGAAATCTTGTTCATTTATATACTTGAAAATAAAAACGGTGCATTAAGCGACTATTTACCTACATTGTGCTGACTGTATAAATATACAGAATTTACATAATAATTCTATGAATTCTTCTTTCCTCTTTCAAACTTCTCGTTGATAGCCACTCTAAAGGTAAGATACTCAAAAAAATATTTTTTGTTAATAATTTTCTTAATTTACAACTATACAGAAACAACTTACCTGTTTTTATATACAATAAAAATGTACAAGTAAAATATACAAGTGAGTAATAACTATTCTAGAACTTGAAATGTGATTAAAGGGGTGCGAAATGAACACAAAAAAGAAATGGTCAAACGATTAAGAGTGTGATCACAAGTAATTCCTGAATAAGTTAATAAAAATATTATATACTCATTATATATAACCCTTTCACTGCACGATATGTAATATAAATTGTCAAGGGTAATACTTTTATGGTAATTAAAAGCAAATAAGTTTTCGCAAATTCCATTCCCTAAGTAGTAAAGTATTAGTAACGGAATATATAGCGATAATGTAGATGAACGAAAAGGTCAATATTATTTAAGGTGCTATGTAGAAAGTTTTAAGATTGATTCTGTCACGTTTCCAACTACCTTTAAAATTTTATTGCTGGTTCTTGATTTTTCTGCAAAAATGTTGATAAATTGATTGATCAATTTGCTGTTCTCATTCCTATTCTTCATTGATTTCTACTTTGACATATACACTAATAAATTCCACGTATGCATTAAGTAAATATTTGTTAATTTTTATTTTTCGAGCAATTGTTTGCCGTATTTTCTTTACAATTGCCATTTACTCAAAAAGGTGAAGAGAAGGTCAAGTTATTGCAAAAACACGTTTTAGAATTAGAAGATTCTTAGGTTATTCAAAGATGATTTTTTACTGCATTTACTTTTCGAGAAATATTGCAACATTAACACAGTTTCAAATCTTCCAGATTATTCACAGGTGTAAATTAAGCTTTTCAAATCTGGAGATCTTTATCTTGCATAAACCAGAGATTTAGTCTCTGATTTAACAATGTCTTCCAGAAAAGTCCAGGAAAACTGTTTTCCACGAAAATAAGGTATTTATGGCCGTTTAATGGTTGTGGTAAAACAATCGGTCCTAACAACCTATCCCCTATAATGCCTAACCAGATGTTTAGACAAAAAAGCTGTTGATGTGTGGTTTGAACGACAACTCGAGATTCTTGTCAGATTACACATGATTATTATGGAAGCTGAGTATTTCACTTTTGGTCAAACCATCATTTTCAGTGAACAGAATGTCAGTTAAGAACTCTGGGCGTTCTAGCAGCTTCCCGTAAAAATCATTGACAGAATGTATTTTGTAGTAATCCGGAGGAATGAGGTGTGTTTTGAAACACCTGTATATCTAAGAATTGTTTCAGGTCTATTATCCTACATTAGAAATCTTGACGATTACCATCTTCAGCACATTTTGCAGAAAGTTTACTATTGTGTTTAAGGCTTTATGTCAAAATTTGCTAAATTTAGTCTTTCCTTTTTTTTGCAAACAAGTGTGAACGTTTTGATCAAAATTTTTGGGTTTTATCGTCAGAACTGTTCAATTTATTGTTACCGTTGTCATTGCGAATCAACATCCATACCATTCCCAAGATTGCTTGCGTGCCATTGATCTAAAGTAAACATGAACTCATCCAATTTATCTGGCTTTACAGAATCTTCATAACAATCCCTAAAAGTTAAAGCTCATTAGTTCACTTATGGAATAAAATAACTGTAAAATGGTTATAGCTGTTTATCAGAACTATTTCACTGTTTTAGGTGTCTTAGCTACTGAAAGCAACTTCACCAATTAATACAATCCTAATGTATGTCCTGTATTAATCCAAGTTAATACAATCTACTACAGCGATTTTATGAAATGCCGTATAACAAATATTCAGAAAAAATTTTCTGCTAAGACCTAGTATATGCCCGAACAGATTTGTTAAATTATAAAATCTGCCAAATTATGCTGGGGAATGCCATAACTCAAGATCATCAAATTTTGATTAGAAATATTACCATTTCGTAGTTCTCATAACAGTTTTTAATGTTTCATGTTTGTCTTAATACTTAAATTATTGTGATGGAGGAGTGTTTAAGGCCTTCACAATGGATTGATTAATGACTACAATACAAATCAACAATTATTGTTGGTTATAGTACACAAGATGGAATGCACATGTTCAGAACTACTGATGGGTTTATGTGGAATATCACGCTGTACTGGGGAAATTCTTTAAGTCAGGGCCAAGAAAATTTGATTTGAGATGATATTCCGCTCTGCCTATGATGACTTATGACGACTATGACAAAATCAATAATTATTATTGGTCGTAGTGTCTGCAAGTATGGTGTTTAGTTTGAACGAACTAATTGCTTAGATGTTAATGTTTGTTATAATCCAAGACTGGTTTATATATGCCAATAGTTATTGACTTATGAAGAAAATGGCTCAGTTGCTGTTTGAAACAATTTGAAACAACTCCTATCCCATAATTCTAGGATTTTGCTACATAAAATCCCTATTCTTCCATAAGTTAGGTTATAATGTCTTCTACGATACATCACACCGCAAAATCTCAAACGCAGAACTTATTCGGAACCAAATCCCAAAAAGGCAAATGTTTTTTAATGGCTCTCAATTTCTTTTAACAACAATATTGATACGATGAAAAAGGTTATTTTTGAGATTACTTAGATAAAGCTAACAACTGATATAACAAAAAGGCGTGAAAGTGGCCTTAATTACAATAAGTCTTAAGCGCAATGACTCAGCTTGTTAATTTTCGAGTTGACAGGCACACGTAGGTTTTCTAATCCTTCGAAAGAACGTTGAGCCACTCACTCGTCTATCCAAGGTGACGTTAAGCCGTTCTTCTCATCATCCAGTCTTATGCCTCCGGTTATCATTATGTTTGAAAAAGGCACGGTTTACATTTGAGTAATTTGGAATCACTAACAGCCAAATCCACTATCTGTCATTTTCGGTTTTATTTCATTATGCTGTTCTAGGTGGCTCTCTGCGTTACTTAAAAGGTAGTTCTTTGAGCATCTTCTGGGATTTTATGCTGTTTTGTGTCCCTACTGTCAAGTATTTGAAGAATGATAGAAGATCAAATTAAATTTCATCTTTGATTAATCGGGATAATCCTTTTTTATTTGTGTTTGTTGTAATTTTATGTAAAGTGTTTCTGGGAGACCATTTTTATAATGATAGTTTGTGTGATATATGAAGCAACACTTTAGATAATGATTTGTGAGCTTTTTTTTTTTGCAAACTTTATATAAGTTGGTCAACAGAATCGAATTCACAAAGGTATTAAATTTTTCCATATCATTATACACTCAGCGGCATAAAAAACGCATCACCTAAAATCATGACCGGTTTCAAACTGTAATAACTTTTTAACGTATTTCTCGATTTGGATAAGGTTTTTTTATTTGGAAGGCCTACCCTTTGCCAATATTTCTCTAGACGATTTCCCCATTTTGGCGCTCTTCAATTTCAGGAATGGTGAATAACGCTAATGCGTGTTTTTTTCATACGGTTTAAAGCTTGTTGTGGGGTACACCGACAAAAGAAAATAATTTTAATCATAAACAGCTTGTAGTCTCGTCTGTTCTGATCACTTCTGTTTTTTGTTCAAGTTTCTATTTTTGTTAACACTAAAGTTACAAGCTCTAAAAGATAACACAGCTTATTCGGCAGCGCCTTCAGAAATTAAAGCAAGTCTTGGAAATTGACGAAAACATTTCAGTGACGTTTAGTGTCGGTAATGTCGTACACTGTTGCTAAACAAGAACAATGCCTTTAAGTCTTGCAGAAGTTGCTCAGGCAGTGGCTTTGGTGAAAGATGGACGCAGCACTCGTTATGTTGCTCGTGTTCTTGGCGCGATACAGAGCACGGTTTCTCGCGCCATTCAAAGAGTTCGGCAGACTGACGCCTTCATTAGACGACCTGAATCACACAACACCGTGATGATCGATATATTGTAACGACCGTGTTACGAAATCGACATACCACAGCAATTGAGATAAGAAATCGTTTGGAGCAAGTGCGTCGGATGAACATAAGTGAACACACAGTAAGAACGAGATTTGAAGAAGTGGGGTTGAGATAACAGAGACCAGCAACTAGACCATAGTTGCGTCTAGAACATCGTATTGCTGGATTACAATTTGCACGAGATCATGTTTAGTGGACCAATGCAGAGTGGCGAAAGGTACTCAGACGAGTCGAGGTTCGGCTTGTACACTCCAGATGGTCGAGAGAGAGTTTGGAGAAGAGCAGGAGAGCGTTATACTCTGAAAGAGTACAATACCAGGGAGAATCTGTAATGGTTTGAGGGGAAATGTGCTTCGAAGCACATACGGAGCTTTGCTTTATCAACGGCAATTTAAACGCGGATGGGTATATTGAAGAAATTTTGGTTGAACATGTGGTTCCCTTCGGCCCATTTATTGATGACAACGTCTTGTTCATGCACGATAATGCACGCTCCCATACAGCCCGCATAGTGTCCCAATACCTGGATGATTTGGATATCAGCAGAACAGAATGGCCTGCATCTAAACCCCATAGAACACATGTGGGATATACTAGAGAAACGAGTTAGAGCCCGTGGTGCCGTTATACAAACACTAGATAATCTCCGAATAGCGCTAGAAGAAAAGTGAACCCAGATTCCCCAAAATGAAATTCAAAAACTAATTCGAAGTATGCCTCGAAGAATGAGGGATATCATTCAAGCGAGGGGAGGAAATACCCGTTATTAATATTTTGTTTGATTTACTTGTCACAGTTTAATAAAATTTAATTTCATCGACATCCATGACTTGCTTTAATTTCTGATGGCGCTGCAGAACAAGCTGCGTTATCTTTTAGAGCTTGTAACTTTGGTATTAACAACAATAGAAACTTGAACAAAAAAACAGAAGTGGTTAGAACAGACGAGACTACAAGCTGAACAGCTTGTTTATGATAAAAATTATTTTCTTTTGTCGGTGTACCCCATAGCAAGCTTCAAACCGCATGAAGAAAACACGCGTTATTCACCATTCCTGAAATTGAAGAGCGCCAAAATTGGTAAGGCACCTACAGAAATATTGGCAAAGAGTAGGCCTTTCAAATAAAAAAAAAAACCTTATTCAAATCGAGCAATACGTTCAAAAGTTATTGCAGTTTGAAATTGGTCATCATTTTAGGTAATGCGTTTTTTATGCCGCTGAGTGCAGTTAGTGTTGATACCACTTCAATACAACATGGACAGCATGTTTTGCAACGCCTTGTCCGTAAGCAACCTCTTTTAAGCTTGTAACAAAAAATGTCTGACATTGCATATTTAAGCCGTGGTCGAGATCATAAGTGACCTTGGCTACACATACGGCTCTAGCGTTAATACCACTTCATTACAAATTGAGGAACATATTTTGCAACATCATACATCGTCTATCACAAATTTAGTCGAGGATACTAGTGGCCGAGATGCAGTTACACAAGTGTTATCCAATCTTGTGTTCATTGTAACGCCTCGTTCATAAGCCTCGGCTTAAATAATGTGGCTTATTTAAGCCGAAGCTGCTTGCATACAGTTTTCATTCAAGTTAAGTTAAGTCGAGGTTGCTTACGTCCGAAGCGCTGCAACTTATGGTGTTCAACTTTGTATTGATGTGGTAAATTTACCGTTCTAAGGTTAATGGGAGTCGTCTACAGCCCAGTTTATAATACATATTGCAGAGCCTTGCCACAACCTCGGCTTGAAATAAGCGGATATTGAATCACGTTGTGGACTTACTTCTAATTAATACGTCGACGCTGCCAAGCCAAAACGACATAAACGACATTTAGGTAGAGATTTAAAAATTCTGTTCAACAGTGTAGCTAAGTAAAAAGCGACCAATTGGCATTTATGCCATTTTGGCTAAACTTGGAACAAAAAGTGTACAACCATTGCTTTAGAAAGAAAACTTTCTTCATTTCGCATCCCCTGTAATCCCTTTCTAGATCCTGTAATAATTATGGCACCCTCTAGATATTTACAATATTCTAAAGCACAAAAAGTATCTATCTAAAAATACCCAAGATAGTATTTATTTTAAGTAGGTAAAATGAACCTGCACCTCAAGATATGTACATTTAAACATATTTATTACTTTCAATAAGTATAATACATTAATAATTAAACATAACATAACAGTACCGCTTACTCTATTATTTAAAGGTTTGTGTCCTGTTACAGAAGACTTGAGACTAGGACATCTTAAGACCTATAATTGGGTTTATTTTTTTTTTAGTGTTAGTAAGGATGATAATACAAACGTCTCAGTAAAAATAATTACAAATTAAGGACTTTTTAATATTTTATACAATGGTAACTCTCAGTTAGGCCATATGGTAAAGATTACAATATTAATTAATATTGTTTTATTGCTTAAGGACACATTCTTCCCTTTTTTAACTCCACCATACGTGACCATAAAATTGATATTTTTCGTACTATTTTTTTTTAAGCAAACATTCAAATCTGAACTCTCACATTTATGCGTGTCAGACGTATGCAGTCTAAAGAAAAGGAGGAGATAGGTTTACAATACTGATTTATTAATTAACACGGAGTGAAATGATTTATTTTACTACACACGCGCTAAGCGTTAAAAGTGAAAAGATATTCGTTAGTATGTATTTCATCATCATTTACACTCACCTACAACGCGATACTTTTCCTTTTTTATATACAATGTACAATTTGGTCTAAATTTCTGTGGTACGTTATTTACAATATAATAAACAATTATTTGACATTGTGTATTTATAGTAAATTATTAAAAAAAAGGGGGTGATAAACTATTTATAGCACCAACTCTCAACTATCTAGGAAGGAAGGAAGAATACATTTTATACAAGATGTGTTCAGAAAGAATTAAAACTACGAAAGTTAGTTTTAAATAGTTCAGAACCAGTATCACAGATTTAGAATTAAGTTATGCAAGAACAACAAAAAGAAATTAATGAAAACAATAGAAATTCAAGATAATTTTTGTTATTGATTGAAGAAAGAGGCTTGGAAAATTTATTAATTTGCTGTAAGATATATGGTTCTGAATTATTTCATAAAAATGATTTTTTCTTTCTGACATCATCCCGTATTTTTTGTACCTTGGAACTATTTATGCACAAAGAAGGAATATAAGAATTAAAGAAAAAGAAGTAAGTCGTGGGACAGAGCTTATACTTACCTTACTAAAAAACTTATGGCGGATTCCTCCTTGTTGTGTTTTTTAAATATAAATAATATAAATTAGGAATAAAAACAAACAAAAAAGAAAAAAATTGATTGACGGGAGAACGATCCGAAAATCCGAAATGGCAAGATCACATCAAGTGACTCGAATTTCATATCTAAAAACGTAATTATAAATTTTGACTTATTTTTTCTTTTGGAAGAGGAAGAAGTGATTTTTTCCTTTAAGGTTTTTTTTAAGTGTAGCTTACACTTTCGTTGCGTCTAGAGATATCTCTGGCAAATGATCACCACACCTTGGGAAGCCCGGCGGTACAGGTGGCAAATCCGCGTTGGTACCAACTTGGAGTACCAAATTCATACCTATAGCTATGTGGAAAAGGAAGTGACAGTGGAATAACCAAAATCCAGGATTATCGGCCCTAAATCTAAGTACTACGTAACCATTGTTTGGTATAGCGACGGTGTCTTTGAATGGAGGCAAATTATATTGTCTGTGAAGAAGACCTTGTCTATCCAAATCAAGAGCATGCTTCAAATTGATTTTCTTCACATTTCTATCTGGTGATCTACCGATACCTATTACGTTGAAAGCGTATCCGTGAAGATGGAACGGATGGCTAAGATTCGGTTGTTGAACTGGAATTAAAAATTAATTAAAATCGTTGAGGTAAAGTTTTGGGAACATTTTTACCTTCATCAACAAGAACCACTTCAACAACGGCGTTAAGAGGAATATCCACTTTGTGGGTACACATGCAATTTTGACCACAATTTGCTGGTCGATTATCACCGTTACAGAATTGTTCTGGATTTATATCATCATATTGCGAAACTAAAGGAGCTGGTGGAGATAAATACGAAATTTCGTCGATTAAACTGATTACATGATCACCATTGGGAGCGACTATAAAAAATTTTTTTTAGTAAAAAAAGATTTTTTAATTAATTCAACATACCTAAATGTCTGTTATAAGTATTAGGTGCGAATAAATCTTGCGGTGTGTAAAGATGGAATCTGAACGGCAAGAAGATCTTAATGTCCGGCCTTTCTTGAAGTATTCCTTGGTCGATGCTTCTAGCGCTCTTCAATTGGTTAACGCAAATAGCATCAGTCCGTTGTTCGTTACATCTTGCGTCCAAGGGATTTAAGACCTAACCGGATATTTACGCATATTTACAAATCATGCAAAACTATAACTACGGAAAACTTAGTGGTTTGGTGCCCTTTTAATATTTTCGAGACTTACCCAAAAAATTGCTTAATTACATCATCAGAAATGGACCAAAATTTTTTTTAACATTACTTTTTTTAACTACTAAATAATATTGTAATATGTATAATATGTACAAGATCTTTTAAATATTCTTTGTATGAGCTACTTAATCCTTCACCCCCTTAATTGAAATTTGCTTCGATTTTTTTATATACAATCATTTCTCAAAACTACATACTTCATTCCTTGTGATTATTATGTACATTTCTTTCCAATTAAATTATGTACAGGGCAAATTAATTATTTTAAATATTTACAAGAAAATATACTTACAATACCCTGTGGAAGACCAAAATCGTAAGTTGGCGCTTGACTGGATGGTTGATATGGAGCCATAGCGTATCTTAAAATAGCTAATTGTTGAGCTCTTCTTATACCACACTCTCCAAGACCTCTCAATTGAATCCAATACGCTCCAGCTGGTTGATCAGCGTTGATTACAAAATCGTATCTTTCTCCTACAAAATTAAAAAAAAATAATTTATTGGATTCTCATGAATGAACGTGAGTTTACTCACCTGAGAATGATATAACAGTATTGACCCTGACAGGATGTACGGGTTCACCATCGGTGGATATCACTGTCAAGTCATGACCTTGTATAGTGAGTTGTGCCGGGCAAACTGTAGCGAACGAGTTAATCATACGGAAACGATATCTTCTGCCTGGAGTTATTGTGTAAACTTCCAACGGAGTATTAGTCATAAAACCGGTGTTGGGATCTCTGAATTGACCTTTTCCATTAATCAATAAACTCTCGGGATCTTGACCCGTATTTACTGCCAATCTTCCTGGGAATCTCTCAGCGGCATCTTCGTGCATCCAATCACTGATTAACATGATATGGGTGGTTAAATCATAATCGTAAAGATTACTATTTGGATCTTTGCTTGGTGCTTGTCTGACGATAACACTACCATAGAGACCATCAATTTTTTGAAGTCCAGTGTGTGCATGCCAGAAATGGGTGCCTGCGTTAGCAGCAAACCATTGATATCTGTATAAATTAATATTTTTTAATAATTAATAATAAATTCTTATAAAGGATATTTCAATAAGAGGTTTCATTTTAAATTTCGCACCATTTCACAACTAACAAAATAAAACTGACAAGTAAAAATTATGATGTTATGAGAAATGGAATTCACTATAAAAATGGTGAAAATGCTTTTGATCATCATCAAGTGCCTTCTCGACCTGCTATAATAAAGTTAATCCATAAATTTAAAAGATTCGGAGAAATTTGTGATTAGAAGACTTCAATTTGGTCAGGTCTGCTGAAAATATCGCCGCTGTAGCTAAAAGTGTGAAAACTTAGATTGGTCGATTATAAGATGTTCACAGTTATTGGGCTTATCAACATCTAGTTTGCACTGTATTTTGCAGAAAGTTCTTGCCTTAAAGGCTTATAAAGTTTAGCTAACGCAAGAATTTAATCCACAAGATTACGGGCAATGCTGATTGTTCTATAAGTATTTCTTCCTTTGATTCTATCCTTTCTTCTAAGATGTTTTGGTAAAAAGGTCTATCTCTCTACGATTATATTGGTAATTTGTTGGTATTATGTGCCTGATTTTTGCCTATCTAGTAAACTAAATGCAATTAGCTTCTTCTTCCAGGTAATTTACTAAATCAAGTACAGTTTGATAGAAATTTGAATAGTCGATTTTATGGTCCAACGTAATCTCTTGGTGGCAGTGTGTGGAACAAAAGTCTTGAAACCAGTGCTGAAATTGAGGTCCATCTATCCAATCAATAGGAAGATTCCAATACCTAGCGAGCCTTCTACTCATTCTTCAGACATCTTTTCCTAAACCACTTGAAACTCTCCGGCGAGTGATTAGAAAAGCATGACTGGTCACAATTAAAAATATGATTTCTTATTTTCCCACAAGTCAGTGGGAAAATCTTCCAAGACTTTTTTTTCTTCAAAAATGATATCTCCTTAATAGCACAAACCATGACTGTTGTAGCACATGTAGCACAAATTGAAATCTTTAGGGTATTTTTATATAAACACAACTGCAAAGCCGAGTTTGCGATTCAAATCTACAAAAATTATTCTCAAAATTGAGATGTGCAGATACATTTGTGCTTTACTGAAACTTGAGAAACTTCAAATTTGGCATATATTGTACCAATAGTACTACAAAGACATAACACTCTACAAATTCTGACGTTCTTGCTAATTGCTGTAGGACTGGGTTCTGATCTATAGTTGTTACATCATCATTCTGTTAGTTAGATATGTAATGAGTTCCTACTGACCATCTACAGCTCATGATATGGATACTCCTCAGGCATTGTACTTAATAAAATGGCTCCATAGCTTTCATCCTGAAGGGCGAAGGATTTATAGCCGCGTAACAGGTTATAAATAGGTTATGAGTCAGTGGAGAGGTTGTAGGAGAGATGCAACAAGCAAAATTGTCAGATTTTGGCTCCGAAAACCTAAGATAAGTGATTGAGCAGCACTTCATCAACAGATCAACCTTATCTTTTCAAAAATGATGCTAGTGTAACTCTTGCAGTGAATTACGTTGCCAAACGATGATAACTGATGTTTGCCCGAAATTGATGCTATGGATGTGCACTACGTTTATTTTCAACAGGATGGCGCAACATGTCACACTGCTCGTGAAACGATTACTTTATTGCGTCAAAAATTTCCTGGACGTGTAATATTTCGAAATTGGACAATTTTGATTTGGGCTATCTTAAAGATATCTTAAAGTGCTTTGGCGAATTTGGCAGAAAAAATAAAAATATTTCTGTTAATTTAAAATGAAACTTCTAATTGTAAAACTCTATATTAATAATGTTACCTGAATGTGTTTCCTTGTTGGATTGGACATTGTGTTACAAATGGTACACCATCGTAATATTGTGTGCCACGTTGCCATAAACCGTGCCAATGTATAGTAACTTCCATACCTTCCATGTGGTTTTCTACATCGACTACTACTTTATCATTTTCGCAGACTTGAATGCTTGGTCCGGGGATCATACGATTTGCTGTTAAAACACCTCTTTCTACGCCGTCGGCTAATACGCACTGACAATTAGACCACACTGTGTTGGTTGCATTTGGAGTACAAATTTGACAAGCCCTAGAAAAAAATGGATTTTTTAAAAACGTTTGATACATATTATTGTACAAATATAGGCAAGAATGTCAACTTAAATTATACCCAAGAGAGAATCGCGTTCTCTCTCATTGCATAACCAGTAGCTCCATCTTTAAAACCACTCTTGCTCTCTAATTAACATCGAACGGTCACCGTATTTGGAATATAACCGGTTGCCCTGCGGACATCCATTACTGTTTGAAAACAAACCTCATGCAGGAATTCCGCATGTCAGGTACCTTATCCACTTGTTTATCAAACTGGTAAACGTGCAAAACGCGTGGCGAGTGGTGCTATTTATTCGGGTTTTTATGAGGATCTAGGTATTGAATTCAGATTGTGAATGGGTTGTAATTTTCTATTGCCGCTAGTATTCAATTTGTAAAGATGGATGTAAACAGTCATTACTCAAGTGCTTATTAGGATAAAACTTCTTGGAATGTAAACATTTTTATTTAAGGAAAAGTTGATAATACGAAGGAATGTGATTATTCGAGTTTATTATTGAGGTTTGGTCGTGATATTGGAAAATTACTTTCTACTCTTAGTAAATATGTGTGTATATCTGAGATTTTCTAGGTATTGCACAAGATACTATTGCTATATTTGCGAATGAGAAAAAAAATGCAATAACGGTGGCTTATTGTTTACTGTATTTTTTACGTCAACCACAATAAAGGACTTAGTTCTCAAGAAGTTTGCTAAGATGGCCATTACAACGTGCACTTTATGCCAAGGACGGCGTTGTTTTAATTATGCGATTTTCGGGTCGTTATAACGTTTACATTTTTACGAAATTTTATGAGATCATTATGTGAGTGTCTTGTTGTAGCAATAACGGTCTTTAAAACTAATTAACAAAAATTTCAAATCAACTTACGCTCCGAGCACAGTGTAATACTCCAACGTAAAATGATAATAACAAATCCTTGGCGGTTCATTTTCTCTACAAGCTCGCGCACATTCCTCAGGCGAAGACAGCGATGGGTTCCTTTTTAATTCAGCCGTAGCCGACGTTCTATAGTCCAAGTGTTTTAATCCGCTACTCGAAGGCAATGCATTTCTAGATGATCCCCCTGATGATCCAGCCCTGAACTTCACCGAACCTTTACCTGGATGAGTTTGTAGAAGACCATGTGTGGAGGAAAAGAAATTGGAATTGTCGACTGGAGTATCTACTGAATCGTGCCACCATGATGCCGACGTTGATTGATCATTTGCTATAAAAAAAATTAATCATTAAAATCTTGATTTATTTCATTATACGGGGAAGGAAGCACATCGTTGCGTTCTTTATTAATTAGTTCTAGTTTTATTTCAATGAAAAATATACAACTATCGAACGATGATTAACAGCTAAAACTATAACTAACACTAGCATTAGAACTAACACTAGATCTAGAACTAGAAACATTCGGGTTTAGCAATACGTCTCTTAAGACGGCTAAATCCGAATGTTTCTAGCTCTAGGTCTAGTGTTAGTTTTGGATCTAGTAAAAGATATAGTAAACATTATTTACTTACCTTTAACACACTGCGTAAAATAGTTTATGATAATAACTTTAAATGTGCGAAATAATAGTTATTTATATTACAAGTGGGCTAGAAACATAATTACAGTACGAGTGTGGAGACTCGAGACACGAGTACTGTAATTATGTTCTAGCCCATGTGTGATATATAGCATTTTATCTACGGCTGCTAAAAATTACTAAAAAATCTATTTCTTTAGAAAAGTCTATTTGACATTTATAAAAATATTTTGAAATGATTATTGACAATTTTGAATTGTCAGTTTCAACAACATGTTTACTCATCTGGAATAAGTGTTTTGAAATGTAAAAACACAACAATTAATGTTTATAATAAATAGTATTGTTTCTCTGTAAGTAGATAGCACTTTTTCTTTTGTATTGTTGCTCGTTTCAATAAATTAAGTCTGTTCTGATTAGGCTAAAAATGCGTTACGTAATGAAACTAGTGCGGTAATGAATTTCATTACGTAACTCAAATCACCTCAAATGAGTGCGGTAATGATGACTTATCCAAGCAGTCGTAGATCAAATAATATGTACTACTTAAAGGATTAATTACAAGTAAATAATAAGAATACTTTTAATGTGAAATTTGAGCTTGATGTTTTTTGATAATTTCATTTATATTTGGTCGTAAAAATGACAATGCTACTCTCATATCGTCTTCTACATTTAACAATCTGATCTTTTTTTACTTTTAATGTTGGTTAATGCTGAAAATCCGAATTCACTCAAATAAGATGTGGAAAATTGTAATAATATGTTTAAAGCTTTTTTGGCTATCATTGGATAATCGCATCTAATGTTAATCCAAAATGAATTAATTGATTTTTCTGAATGTTTTAAAAAGAAATCTCGATTATTGGAAAGCAAAATAAATTTCTCCTCTTCATTCAAAGTTAAGTTAAATACAGAAGTATCCGTTATGAGAAATGGAAAATTTCTTTATATCTAATTTTGGGAAATGATGAATAATTTTCTCCTCTAATGTTGTTAAATGGTCAATAACAATTATTTTAATATTTTTATAGCAGTCTTTTGGTACTGACTCAAATTTTCCTAAATTGCCTTTCTGAGCTTTATTCTTCCATAAAGTTATTCGTTTTTGGAATCCCTCCAGTTTATCGGTTGAGTTTAAAATATTTTCATTAGCCCCTTGTATACTTGAATTTATGTTATTAAAAATAACAAAAATTTCTGATAAGTAAGCCAGTTTAGTACACCATATTTTATCTTCCAACAAATGAGCAAAATCATAATTTTTATCTTGTTCAAAAAACATTTTCATTTCGTCTTTTAATTCAAGCACACGAGATAAAACTTTTCCTCTGGACAATCACCTTACTTCCATATGCAGTAACAAGGATTCGTACTTGGCGTCTTGATTTTATATAATTAATCATTTTAACACATTGTTCCAGAACTATTTTCAATTCTGATGGCAAATATTTTGTAACAAATGCTTCTCGATGCAAAAAACAATGGGTAACTAATATATCCCCATTCAGTTCTTTAACATGTCCTACAAATCCTTTTAGATGTCCAGTCATAGCTGGAGCACTATCTGTACAAATGCCAATACACGAAACTTTAATTTCATCTAAATATGAACTAATTACATCAAAAATATGTTTGCCAGTTGTAAAATCAGGTAACTCCCGACAACATAAAAATTGATTAATTATATATATCATTTTCGTGAATAAATCTAACGAATGCAATTAATTGAGCTTTTCCTGTAATATCTGTTGTTTCATTTTCAATATTGAGCAATATCAGTATTTTGCGACATATCTTTAATTCTGCGATGGATTGTGTCATTCAAAAGTGGTATTTTACAAATATCAATATCTGCTGATCCACCAATCATTATTTTTACAATTTTGCGACAAGCTGGTAATATAATTTCTTCAGCCAAATTGTGAGGTTTTAATTTAACAGCAATCAATTCAGCTATTTCGTAAGAAGCTACTTGAGCCTTTTCAGACACACTGATTTGTTTTTCAAAAAATTTTTCTTGCTTGGATTTTGAAGATAAAGACTTTTGAAAGTAGCTTTTATCTTTTGTGGAAAGCGAAGGATGATTAGTCACCAAGTGACGTGGGAGGTTGCTCGGAACCATAGCACTATTTGATAATTTACAACCACATATCACATACTCGGGAACAACTTTGTCCCTTTCCATTGTAGAGGTATTTTGTACAATTTCTTCATAATTTGGTGCTTTATGGTTACCTAGGAAATTTTCGACTACCAACACAAAACTTTTCCAAGCTTTACTTTCCGGTATAGTCATAACTTTAATAAAATTTGTGTCTTTCACCAATTGCCGTATTTGAGTACCATCAAATATTTCAGCTTTCAACCTTTCCATACTAAGCTTCGGAAATTTTCTACAAATGTAATTAAAACAATCTCTTTCCTTGTCCAACGCTTTTACAAATTGCTTTATCATTCATAACTCAATATGTGATGGTGGAAGTATGATTTTGTCTCTGCTCGCCAACGGCTCCCTTATTACATTGGCTTTACCGACAGTTAAAGAATTTCTAACAGGCCAAACATCTTGTTCCCAATGAAGTTGCTTTGTTCTACTGTCCCACATACAAATGAAGCAAGGGTATTTCGTGTATCCACTTTGTTGACCAAGTAAAAAATTAACCATTTTCAAATCCACACAGATCGGCCATTGATGTTCCGAGTAATTAATTTCTTCTAAAACTAATTTTACATTTTCATATTCTTCTTTGAGTTTTATTCAATGGGCAATTGGAATTGATGCAAATTTATTTCCATTGTGCAGTAAGACGGATTTTAAACTTCTTTTACAACTGTCAATAGAAAGGCGCCACTCAGTAGATTTGTATTCTTTTAAACCCATGTCTAGTAGTACACCAGTCCTTCATTTTCACTAAAAAATTGTAATAACTCACTTTCTCGTGTTCTGTATGTTGTAATTGTTACTGTTGGAGCCAATAATTCTTTTTCTTTCAATCTTGAGGCTAACAGTTCTGATCCTTGTTTCGATAAATTGAGATCACGTATTAAATCACTGAGTTCATTTTGAGAAAATAACATCGACGTAGATGTTTCACCCTCCCATTCACTTCCACTGGTAGACTGTCCCGATTTCTCTGAATTTGGCAACATCATTGTTTCTGAGGGCATGCGAATTACTTTTGAAACGTAACTAGGCCGAGGGAGATTTTCACTGTGTAGAATAGGACATTTTGTAGACTGTAAATCTGGATATCTCCACGTTTGATTTCGATTAAAACCTTTAGCATCTACTAGGCAAAAGAAACAATCATCGAAATGATTCTTAAGCTCCATCCAGATCATAGGAATACCAAAGTCTAATCCAGAATGTTCTCCTTTTTTCCACAACCGTAAAGACTCAATACAGGACTTACAAACTTTATGAGGAATCCATGATTTATTTAGTTTGTCCATTTTAAAACCGAAATATTCAACATAAGTCTCCTCGACAAAGTCTGTGATATTTCTTTTTTGTTTTTTTGTTATATAAACACCGCAAATACAACAAAATAAATCACTACTATTCCTATTTACACATTCTTCGTGACGAACACATGTTTTAAAAAAAAAGACAAATATATTAAAATGGACATTCAGTAATTGGGGTCTGAGAGTGGAGATCACGTGATGTTTGTATGCGCGAAAAAGTTGCGCAGAAGCCTAATCATGACTGGGAAAATAAATTTTATTACTAACAAGCCGATAATTGTTCAAAATATAAGATATGTAAAAATCATAAAAAACAAAAGCACATTCAGTACTTTCTTGAATATATTGGTAATCTGGGCAAAGATATCCAGGGCCACAAAAAGAAATTTTTTGTTATAGAGCTGTGAGATTAGAACTAACACTAGAATTAGAACTAAGACTAGACCTAGAACTACAAACATTTGGGTTTAGCCGTACAGCTTTTAAGACGGCTAAACCCGAATGTTTCTAGTTCTAGGTATAGTTTTAGTTCAATAGAAATATATATCAATCTAGCACTGAATAACAAATAAAACGAGAACTAACACTAGACCTAGAACTAGAACATTCGGATTTAGCTGTACGTCTCTTAAGACGTAGTGTGTAGAGTGAAAACAGGATGCCGAGAGATGTTATTTATTAAAACCATATGTTGGATTGGAGAAATTGGGTTTTAGGTTAAACAAATAAAGATTAATTGTTGTAATTATACATTTAATCCAAAAAAATAATCTTACTCAATAAATCTTTAATCAATATATTAATTGAACACACTGAGGAATGTTTCCGCAATACAATTTTATTTTTTTTTCCTTTAACTAAATACACCAGAAGTTTATAGTCTTGGTAGTTATTATTACATAAGTTATGACTGCTTTGGTATGACAAAAATTGGCACAGAATATGGCATCGTTGAAATATTATCGAAAACTTTCGAATGACGAATTAATAGTTTTACTTCTCCTTTTTTTATTGGAAATTACTTTATATATTGGCATAACTTCGCCAAAATTGCTACATGATGTCGGCAATTGGTATGATTGGTTGTAAACTGACCTAGTTTAAATTTTATAGACGAAGAAATTTGCCCGCCGGTCAAATTGCTTTAACCATATACATTTTTATCCTTTTCTATTGCTTCAAACGCAGTATGGAAATCGAATCTCACTAAAAACTTT